TCATGCAATCATTAACCCATAACTATTATTACAACGCTAACTATGATACGTTGTATTTACTGAGCGTGAGTATAACACGAACTTGTTTGGTAGTTGTTATTAAATGAGTTCTGTCTTCATACTCTCTACCGTGTAACGCTTTACATGTCATTTATAAGACTCTGTATAACAAAACATGGAGCAGTCGATACAATTTTTAAGACGATTTCATTTTAAATCTTATTACGTTAATACTTGGATTAGAGCTAGGAGAGGAACAGAAGCTTGTTATTGAGTATGAAGTGAACCGCTTGTATCGGTCAGAGGGAGGCTCCCTCGAGCAGCGGATCACGGACGAGGGAGAATTATTATTAATTGGAACATTTGTTTCAAATTATAACAAGTTAAAAAAGTCAATATACACAACATAATAATTATAAGCGGAGGTTGAATAATTTTTGTATGTTTTATTTGATTAAAGATGAAGAATAATCGCTAAATGATAATCATAAAATATAAACATAATGAGACTTGCGGTGAAACTACATATTATCATGCTGATGAAGGATAAACCTTAACACTTATATTTTAATTCTTTAAGATAATTTTTGCAAACCGGTCATTCCACAACCTGCGAGGTAATGAAGGAAAGATTACATTGAACAAATCATTTTAAAATGGAAATAAATCAGGTGATGTGTTGTGTTAAATACCCTCTTCTTGAACACGACATATCAAACCAGACGATCTAGTCAAAAGATTATGGAGTGATCTAGGTTATATGCAGGTTTAGAATTGATCATACTACGGCCTACCCTTCACTGGAAGAAGTCATATAGTGTAGGTACTGATAGATGTCATGAACTATTGTTGAAAACAGCAATACATGTTGAAAAGAACCTGTTTTTGGTGATGGAATAGAATGTATCACAATGTGCGTTCCTCTCGTTTCTAGTTTTTAGAATCTATGAGAGTCTATTCTCAGAATTTATTTATTTATTTAAGATTCACCAGTGGTAAATACATTAATACAAAGGTATACAATTTTTATACAACTTAAAACTAAATGCATTACCTATTACGGTGAATACCACTTGCAATGATAAAGTTGGTGATGACAAGCTTACAAATAATTAATTGTTAGTGAATTAAGGTTAAAAATGACAAGGATTAACAATAGTAGTAAAACAATAACATACAAATATAAACAAAATAAATTAATTAGATGACAATTTTGACAATAATTTTTTGTGAAACTTGTTTGACGAGTCTCCAAAAGGGTCCAAAACAGCACTGTGCTCATTCAAAATTTTACATAAGCGAGATACAGGTGAATTGCATCCCAAAACAGTTTTGCGGAAAAGTCCTACTAATGGTATTATTGGTTTACGTGGAAATCTTAGGGAACATTTAATTTAATTTTTGATACCAAAAACAAGTTGTCATAGTTGTTGTTAAGTGTTTTATATATAAATTTTAAGTCCAAGAAATCCCTCCGATCATCACTTACAAACTCAATATTGTGGACATGTCATACGTTTATAAAAATACCAAAAGATAAAATACATACCAATAAATAACACCAATACGAAATATCACTCAACCAGATTAAACATAATTTTTTTCGAACATGATGTCTATAAAATAATAAAAATTTAACAATACAGTCCAGCACTAACCTTAATATAATTTAAGTAACTGTGTACCACTGAGTTGCTCTGTAATCTAATCGATAACCAGGCACCAGTCCAGACCCAGTATAGTCAAAGAAATATTGATTAATGAGGATACGGAGAGTAATCTGATGCATAGAATGTGCAAGTTTTGGATCCTTAACATGACCGACAACCAGGAAGATTCAAGATTTATAAACTAAATTATAAGAATTTGTATATAACTTACTCTCCAAATAACGTTACAGATAAGGAATTTGAAAGTATGTTAGATTTGTCAAGGCTGGAGACCAGGTAATGTGATAGCGATCATTATAGTAAGGTTATTGAGAGGAGCTATGATTGTGAGTGTTGTTCACGTCTATACATCAGATATTAATTTAATTAATCCTCTCAGTCTATCTCTTTCCTTAGCTTGTCACATTATAAAAAAGTTAACGAACCCGACATTCCGTGACTCGTGAGCCCATTAACGAACAAGCGACAGTAACACGAGCACACACACACGGAACACGCCTCCCGTGTAGTGTTAAAAGGCGATCGTGAATGTGCCAGAAGCGCATATTAACTTATTAAGTAATCAAAATGTGTCGGACGCACCCCAACTTGTATAATAACCTGTTAAGAGCGTACGGGCGAGTCGGCCGTGCATCATTGTACCGCAAATTGACGCCAAATTGGGAACAGACTCGATCGGAACTCTATTTAGGAGGCCTGCACACGATTGGTGGGCACGCCCCGCGCACTGCACACAGGGACGAAGAAATGGAATTATGCAGCGTAAATAAGAAACTCTTTGTGAGCTCGCTCGCCTTATTTAAACTGTCAGCGGCCCGACTCGACGGCTTAATGAAGTCGCCGAGCTGACTCGTACTGTGACCGTGAGCCTCTCACTCCTCACTGTACAGGCCGCTCGTTCGTTTCATTGTAACGGGTTAATCTATCAATCGAGCTCACTTTTTTGCTTTGTTTCCCAAAGTTTGTGACTTCATTACTCTACGAGCGTAGGGCCGTTAAAAATACAGATTGTGTTCGGACGCTTGTATCAGTGTAGAGCAGATGCAGATATATGTGATGTTATACACATTTTATATTGAAGAAATAAATTACATTGTTTAAATATCGTAATATCAATCATAAAAGTAATCTACCGCACAGTTAATATTAACAACCAAACATAAAAATCGTTCGCAGTGTCGTTCATTGCGAGACAACAAATTAGTTTGAGTTAATCTAATGACATTACACAAGCCATCCCCCACAACAAACAATATTAATCAATTACCATCACCATAGTGTTAATGTTTAATAGATCATAGCGTGTCCCGGGGTCCGCGGGCCCGCGGGGTCCGGTGGGGCCGGCCGGGGCCTCGGGGGACCTTCGATTGTTCTGTCATCCCTTTACTCTCAGATTAGTCGCCGGCGAGTGCTACTCTCCCACTTAACACCGCTTACTGGAGATTTACTCCCGGCTCTGGTTTGTTTAATTTATTTTGTAACTTTCAAGAGCTCAGCTGTCGCGGGGTCGGCCGACGGGTCTTTAGAATCATTCAAGGCGAACCAAGTCTTAGAGTCACTCATCTAATCCATTAACGGCTCCCGGTCCGCTGGTCGCTGTAAGGCTTCTTGTTTGTTATATAATGAGTCATTATCATCGTCAACTCCGTTTCCCGATGCTCCTCGTGCGCCACATACGGCCACCCGACGAATTGTTTTGCGAGCGTTACAAATACGACCCTTATACTAATGCGTCCAGTTTACCCTGACCCGCCGTTCCGTGGACGCCTTACGCGCCTTCCGAGCCGGCGGAGCTCAGGCCCGGCTGGCTATTGTCACATACGAGTAATAAATCGCCGGGTAGAGTAATTCCCTCGCTCGGGTCTACGGCCGCTACGACAGCTACGGCCGCTACGGGTTCGCTACGGCCGCTACGAGCTCTACGCGTCATTAAAGCGGCCGAATGTGTTGCCAAATTAACAATTACGGCAGGCTCCCTGCTCCATGTTAATCAGTAAAGTCGTACAAAGCTATAAGTGCCAATTACACCCCGCCCTAGATTGATGAGGTATGTGAGCTATTTTAATTATCTACACGTACTAGTGTCAACACAAGTTGCTCTTCATCCTACTGTGAGTCATTGTTATCATTGTGTCCGGAGATCAGTGCGGCTTTATAGAGACGATTGGATCAGTGATGGGAGGAGCGGCGGGACTGTTATCACGTGAGCCCGGTGTCAACACGGAGCGGGGAACAATCAATATAGAGGAGGGATAGGATTAACACACGGGATGAACGGGATTGGGATGGAGGATGAAGAAACGGACGAGTTACATATAACACGTACAGACACACTACTGATATACTATATGTTAAGTAACTGTTTATAGGAAAAAAAGTTCTGCCATAAAAATGAATCATTACTTAGAATAAATATTACAAACAAAAGGAGTACGAAGAAGACGTAATATTGAAGCTTGAAGTTGTTTTTAAATTATATATTACTTTTCATAAATCAATAAGTTTTATATCAACATTTATATTGTAATTTATACATATAAAGTTAATGTACAGAGATAGTTTAAACGACGTAATACGAGGAATGTAATGTTGAGGTAACGTGGCCACAGAAACATTGACACCTGAGCATGTGTAGAGTCGGGGTACGGGTAGTACGCTCAGAGTACCGAGTAGCGGGTAGAGGGTAGAGGGTAGCGGGTAACGGGTAGCGGGTAGCGGGTAGCGGTACTCTGCGAGTATTATAGGACGGAGTATTAATTTGCGCGGAGAGCTTGGATCGAGTTTAATTAACAAATTTAATTAGAAATTAACTGTTTGGTAGAGACGGCTCGCTAGGGTTGAACGACGACAAATAAAGTTACAGTGGGTTCATTACGGAGGGCCGGAGCACTTATTGTGTTATAAAGAAAAAGGTTGCGGGTTCTGTGGAGATTAATATATATAGAGACTGTACAGGGTGTATACCGTGGTGTTAAGTATAATGTAACGAGTGTTCAGTAAACAGCGAGCGCCAGCCCTGACAGACACACAGGGTGCTCCGAAATGTTGTAAATTGATTCTGTCAGCATTGTGCTTCTAATTGGTTTGTTTTATATTGGCGGTGAGCGGCGTCTGTGGTGTCTGTGCGCTTTCAATTACCAATCGCTATTTGCGTTGCGAGCCGCCCACTGTCAGCCGCGGACGTGTGCCTCATTCCGCGCGTTTTAATTAAAAACTTTAACATTCACTTATCAGCTGACGTCCTCATTAACATTTGACTTATTTTTATTATATTTTCGCTCGTGTGTAATGATTATATTTAGCCTGCCTAAAGTACAATCATCCCAACAGGTTTGGTTCCAAAACCGTCGAGCGAAGTGGCGGAAGACGGAGAAGTGTTGGGGTCGGTCCACCATCATGGCGGAGTACGGGCTGTACGGGGCCATGGTGCGGCACTCGCTGCCGCTGCCGGAGACCATCCTCAAGAGCGCCAAGGAGAACGACAACGTGGCGCCCTGGCTGCTCGGTGAGACACCTTCAACACTAAACCTAGACGCTGCTTCATGAATCAGCTCGCAACACCTCTTACAACGCTTTGCATGGTTTTATTTTGCTTTACATCCTCATCATCATCTCATATCTTCGCCTTCTGTTTCACTATCGATAAAATTTTGTAATCATTTTACGGTCATATGATTATTTAATAATATTTTAAATCAAATTGCTCAAACATCTACTTATTTTTTGGACACTTTCAGTAAGTAGTCTTCTTAATGAATCAATACATAACACAGTAATCAGAAAGTTAGTTTTAAAAATAAATTTAATTAAATATAATTGTTTCATTTATGTAAACAACATTGTTCTGATCTCATTAGTCGTGAGCTTTTCTTGTATCTGAGACATATTAAGTTTCGTTTCTTAAAATAAACGTAACATCCTTATTAAATATTTCTCGCTCGTTTCAAATTGTAAATTAATTTATTTATAGGGAGTATTATTGAATAATATCTTGTCGTATTTTTAATTCTTGTATATTATTATAAGCCTGAGGCTGATATTAAAGGCAACACATATCTTATTTAAAATTATTTTATCTTTAGTATCGTTTTTTCTTTATTTTCTTTCCGTCATCTATCATTGAAATGTTACATTCAGCTGAAGTCTTCACTGCCACAGCTTGTGTCAAGCCAGCTCATGTCATGCTTCATAACTCTAGCTCGCCTCTCATACACATAGCTGTCGTTGTGCTTTACCTTCACACCCGTACGTGGATGTTACCTGTCCGCTGTGTGTGTGTATGTGTGTGTGTGTGTGTGTGTGTGTGTGTGTGTGTGTGCGTGTGTGAGTCGTTCTGTCGCCTTCCTTATTCGCGGGTTCTCACGTGATGGTTTTGTTCAAGAGTCGAGAGGAGCGGCTCGTCCGTAGCGTCGGCCCGAATGCTCGCCGCCCGGTGAGTCCTTCATTCATTAAAGAACTAATTAGCCTCAGACTCGAACAAAATCAGCACAGCCTTATCACGGGAACCCCTTGTGTGGAAGGTGACCTCTCATCATCAGAACAGCTCCATGTCTCACTAACAGATACTACATTCGTAGTGTGCCCGCGTTACACGTATCGTGTCGTTTAAGAAAACTACAGAGATGTTCATTTTGATTTTCATATTGAACGAAACCTTTTCTTCCCCTCAGGGTATAAAGACTATTTTAATTATTGGACGGTAAAAAATTTCGTAATCAGTTAATGAGAACTAAAATTTTTCAATGTACGACTCGTCGTGTTTAAAATAAAAACAATCATCATATACAAATCTTTATTAACACGTAAAAATTTTGAACAGTCTCTCTTCTAAGATTCTTAAGAAGCAATTGCATTTTGATTTAATATAATTATTATATGAGTAACATATAAGAATGATCAGAATCATAATGTTTATCGTATTATGTGATTAATGAAGCGCCTACCAGAACGAGTAGTCGCTTGATTACAAGGCCGTGAGACGGTGGCGGTGAGCGCGGGGTATAATGAACAGGCTAATACAAAGGCTGTATGAACGCAAATCACGAGCCGGCGTACAGCCTCCCGGTGACGCATGCGCGGGGCGGGACAAAATGGCCGACCCGGAACAAACGACAGGAGCTCCTTAAACGAAACACTATTACATATTAATTATATACTCGCGAGCACACGAGGCCACTCCACTCCACCTCAGCAGAGTTCAGCTCAGATCGGTTACACAATCATAACGTTTACTGGAATCACCTCTCATAGAATGTGATTGAAACATTTTTATACAATTACCCTTGTTTCTGATCTCATTTAGTTCATTCCTAACTATTAAGAACAGTTACGTTGATTGATTGGAATTGTGATGGAACGAACTTGAAGATTACTGTCGAAATAATATATAATAATAATATTAATATAGTAAATTAATAATAGTATGTCTATTTGGAGGTTTTAATTTATCAATTCAAAATTAATATCGTGAATGGATGCAAATATTCACTGAATCTTCCGATGTCAGAGTGGAAAAAACACGCAGAAGGGAGATAGTTAGTGTTAAGCATCTTACTCTAAAGTTTTTTAAAAACAAAACAAAAATTTAGTAATCAAAATGAATATTTTAATGAATATACACATATTATGAATATTTATGAATATACACATTTTTTAAATAAAATTATAGAAAACAGAGACAAAATCTATGTCTAGTGGAGTTAAATGAATGTCATGTATATATTTAATTATATGTACTTACAATACTAGTAGTTGAATATTTCAATGAAGATTCACAACAGAAGGGTATTTTTTTATACATTTGATCAGTCATTACTATCAAAGACAAATCTCTTTTATTTAGATTTTCTTTCCATATATGTATTGATTTCAAAATATTTATGAAAGAATACTCAAAAAAAATAAAGTTCTATTATTGATTACCAAATAAATAATTAGGAGTAAGTTGATTACTTCCTCATTTTAAAATAATTGTCTGTCAGTATAGACGATTTCAAAATTATTTTTTGAGTTGTGTGATTCAATGTCATCATGGAACAAACACAGCTCTATACCAGGTCCTTACAAGAAACTGAACTAATCTGAACAATCTCTGTTTGGATATAAGAGGACGATACACAGATTATGACTAACAAGACTATGTTTAAATTAAATATTCAACGTAGAATCTCGTTTCGTGATATTTTAAACCAGTAAAAATTGGTCGTGTGGCTCAGTAGTTATAGGCCCGTCTTTCGTTCACAAGGGCGCAAGTTCGAAACCTGGCAAGTACCAATGTGATTTTTCCAAGTCATATGTACTTTATAAGAGTATTTAGACATCACTGACAGACGGTGAAGGGAAACATCGTGAGGAAACCTGGACCTGTAATTCAAAATTATAAATTTACAATTTCAAATTATAAGTTTGAAATCACGAACCCGTCTTGAGCAAGCGTGGTGATTAATGCTCAAACCTTCTCCATGTGAGAAAGAGGCCGCTCAGCAGTGGGCTCTGATAGGCTGATGACAAAAGAAAAAAAACTATTACAACGAGAGTAATATTACTAATAACTATAAAGTATAAACGTAGGATACAAAATACATTACCATTTTAAAATCTAAAAACGTTGACGACATTTTCAATGACTTAATGAAGATATTTCTCAACAGTTGTTTTTTTATTTTTTTAACTTTTTCTAAGTTATTTATTCTTGATTCAGTACGAGACTGGTCTGTGATTATGAACCAACAGTTCTGTGGAACTTTCTTCTGTATGAAAAAAAGATAATAATTTAAATTTAAAACATCGTGATTTGATAATTATATGTATTATAGAATATTACTTTTAAATAAATTTGTTATTGTATTGTTATACGCAAATCAAATATTCGTGATTTAACAATAGCTGCTTTTATAGATTTGTTTTATTAAATAATTTTAAATTATTTTTTCAATTGTTATACAAACTGAGATAAGAAATGAAAGTTTTTATAAGAACTTTTATATAAATTATTTTAATTCAACAAAACAAGACACTACAATGATTGATATGTTTGAGAACAATCACAAATTATTATATCTTATTCTAAAAACCTATTTATTTGTTATAATTCAAAATTAAATTTAAAAGCAATACAATAAAACCCAGCACTATACAGCAATATGAGATTATTATTATATTATGTTTTAACTCCTTACGTTAAGTATCACTACTTATACTCGTATATGCAGAAAATTATTATCAGATCTTTTGATGAAGTATTATATAATGTTTCTAAATCAAAAAATAAGAGAACTTCCTCATGAGAAGGTTGTATTATAAGGTTTGCGAGTATGGTTAGGAAGAGGTTTGTTCAGGCTGAGAGGTTCGAGGATATATGTAATGAAACAGATGAGGAATGTGAAACAAAATATAAGGAGTGCGGTCTGCGGCACCAGCTCACAATAAATATTAACATTATATTAGGTGTGATGTGATGTGCTCCTCCGGCCGAGGGTAGGTTGTTCGTCTCGTTCTCTCTCGTCTGTTCCGTGATGGTGCGAGCGAGATGCCTTCACCAGCTGCACCCGCCTGCCGCACTAATATATATTATAATAATACCTTCGTATTAACATGACGACAAGCAGCAGCCGTCCGTCCGCCGCGGACACCGGTGAGTGAGTGTGCTGGTGTACTGACACCACTCACTGGAGCGAGCTGGTGCTCTCCTCGTTCAATACAATAAGTTAGTAAACAGTATCCCGATGTATTATCCAATCCAGTGTAGGAAGTGTTCGCGCAGACATCAAAGACGAGAGCCGGCAAATGGATTGTAATGCATCAGAAGTGCACCTTACTGAATTATCTACCTATTATACACTTGCTTTGAGCATTACTCTTTTATCTTTCTAAATGACACCACCGGGTAAGGACGCCGGCACACGGACGGACGGAACGCCGCGTTTAATACGCGCGTACACGAGCGGGTCGGGTCCGTACAGTTTGGAACTAAAAAAAAATAATTGAACTTATTGAAGCAAACAAACTATTTGTAAGATGAATTCCGCGGAGACAGATACTTAATATTTAGAAAACCTTCATTAATATTAAAAAGCAATATAACTGATAATCTATTATAATATAAATACCAAACTTAATCGATCTATACAACATTTCCCCGCGGCTCTGCTCGTATCGTGTGACGTGTTTCACCCGCCGGTCACAAGCCGAGCGTTTCTCCACAACCAGTAACAAAGTGGCGCCGGCATCACCATTACTGTGAGTGATATTGTAAGTGCACTAGGAATTGTTGCACAGAATTATTCACTAAAAGGATGTGAGCTTGAAAGACATTTTAATGACAGCCTCCTTTGACATCCATCGAGGAGGCAATCCGCCGCGCACACACACACACACACACACACACACACACACACACACACACACACACACACTGATCACACACCGATCACGGGCTCCGATACAACGGATTCAATTAACACGAGCTACGACGTAGACCCGCTACGACGTAGACCAGCTACGAACGAGCTACGAACATACGCATATGTTGACGGCATAAAACATGGAAATAAAAGTATAAATATATATATTAGATTTTGATCGTCGTACATTATAAAGTTAGAAGGTCTTCAGTGACCCGACCCTTGACCCGCGGGGACGTCGTATAGATCAACCGTATATATCGACCCAACGACAGAGGTCACTCGGTATAACATACAATATATTCCATACATGACCCGACCCCGCTAACATACAATTAAAATAATAAACACCTTATTATATGGGGTGGCAATTAGAGGTTCCAGGAAAACTACGAAAATTACTCATATAAGAAGTACATATTGAATCTTATATCCTACACATAAGACTACACGATTGACCCGATGTTAGGATAGCAATATTATTCCATAACTTGTGTGGTATCAGGGATCTTCTGGTTCACACGGCTTGGTGTTCGTTCCGCGGAGTCAGCGGCGCCACTCTTTATATAAAATATTTTATCTATACAACGATGTCGCCCAGCGATATTCATTTTTTAATATATTGCTCGTACGTAACAAACTTATTGTTATATTTCTTTCAATTCCTGGTGCTGGTGAAGTAGTAGCTCGTAAACTGATCGTAAAACATCACGTTAAACTCCACCGGAGCCTCGCGCGCAGCCATGACCCTCGCTAATACATTCATGATCTGAATTAAACATGAGTGACTCACTGAACACGATCATCACGCTAATAAAACGAGGAAAATGGTATTAATGAAGACTTGGAAAAAAATATAAGAGTTAATATGGTGTCTTTACCTCATAGAATATATTGATCTGTTTGACTTTAATAGATGTTGATTGACTCTTAAAACATTTATTGAAATGTTCCATTATCATTATTTATATGATAGTTCAGTTCAGATTATTTTTGATAGAATTCTCTTTTAATGACCTAAATATGATGACGTACATATGTACATATAAGTAACGCGTATGAGAGTCACATATCACAAATAAATAATATTAATAACATGTGTCTTTATCGCTAGTTGTCCATAAATATAGCTTTTTGATTTGTTATTTAATCAATACGAAAGATTGTATTTAAATTTTGCTTAGAATTTGAATTGAAAGTACTTGATCATATTAAATACATCGTAAGTAACTTCATTCACTCTTCATTTACTCATAATATCAAAGGCTTTGAATCATAATATAACTCTAAGTCTCATCTTAAACTGATTTATATTTAAGTATTATAAGCAATACGTTTAAAAACCTAATTCTCTAACCAGACATCTTAGAACTATAGGACGCATGCTGTATACTGTTACTGACACAATACAACCAATTCATAGTTAAGTCCGGGTCGTTGTTACAACACAGAAGGTTGAACCTTTGAAAGAAATAAAACTATCTTTATATGAAGTCAACAACACAATGTGAAAAACTCGAGAAAAGGATGTGTGAGGGTCTGACTGGGTATGAACAACATACTAGACGAGTGTTGATGAGTAATGATATGAAAATAAACAAGAATAATATTATTATAAGCCTTTTAAACTATTTTATTACTTCAATTACAAAGCCTGGAATATTGAAAGTAATAAACATAAATATACGAAAGCAAAATAAATAAAAAAATGGTAAAGTAATGAAAAAGGAAAGACGTTAGTCGAGTTGGTTAAAGAGCTTACGAAAATTATTATTTTATATTAATATAAATGCAAACTATTATTAAATACAAAAAACTTATCAACTTAATATTGACACTAGTGATGTTGGTTCGACATTTATTTGGTCCCAAGAAACTCAAGCCTTATTTATTTAGTGATAGTAGAGTAACAATTTTGATTCAATAGAGGAGTATAGAAATTAATTACAAACAAAGACTAAGTTCGAATGAGAAGAGATTACGGTAGAAGGTAATTAAAACATTTCACACAAATAGGTATTATTTATAAATCAAGACTCCATAAAAAGGTAATTTTTAATATATTGAAGACTAGGTATATAGGATTATCTTGATTTATTTTAATATGAAAAATCTTTTAAGTTCAATCCGGTGTGTGATCGTTATCAAATAAGTGCTATCATTATCATAAAATAAGTTTTTAAAAAATATTTAACTAATAATAAGGTCTAGTTAAGACCGTTACTAATACTTCTATCGTGTCATCCCTCTTACACGTGATGATTTTAATCTCACAAGGCAATATCGTATCTCAGCATCCAATGCATTACATATTGTAAAATTCCAAGAAAACTTTCAACGATGTGAAAGGCACATAAACTTAAACTAATTAATAAATGTGATGTCGATACTAAACCAATATGTATAAAAAACAACTCATTACTAATAATTTTATCGGCAATTGAAAAACCATTTTATATATGTGACGTGAATGTAACTAAACATTAAGACTGCTGAGAAAAAAAATACACAAATATATAAACATGTCGAAATAAATGACACGAGACAATGAGATGAAGAGACGTCTATTGTCCGCGGAGTTTAATGACGATAGAACAGACAATGAACTTGTACATTATAAACATCACTCAATTAAAGGGGACCAGCGCCCTCCAGGACAGAGGAGACTCTTCATTTAGAGATATTAACAGACTCAAGGACTCAACCTTAGAATACGACTAGCATTTAATATAATAATATAAATTATACTAAAAAAAATTCTTTGAGATCATTGTTCCATTGTGAAGTTCACACCAAATATATTAGCGTATCCCTGCTTGTTTTGCTTCACTATTGCTTTGTAATATATTATAATATCTGATTCATGATGGACGGTCACATAAATGTATTTCTCGTATACAAGCTATACGGAGTCCTCTGTGTGCAGGCATGCACCGCAAGTCGCTGGAGGCGGCCCAGCACCTCAAGGAGTCAGGCTCGGAGCGCGAGGGTTCAGAGGCGGAGGCCGACCGAGCACCCTCCGCCTCCCCGCACCCGCACGACCATCATGAAGCACAGGTATGTACAACTACCTTCATACTACATCTATATTTATAAAAATGAATTGCTGTTCGTTAGTCTCACTAAAACTCGAGAACGACAGAACGGATTCATCTTATCTTAGTCTTGAAAGGTTTCGTGGAGGTTAAGGAAAAGTTTAAAAGCTGAAAAAAAAATATTTATTTTCGGGAAAACCCTAAAAACAGCACTTTTCTATTTCCCATACAAACGTTTTTTGACATTTGATTTCACAACTAACTAATATGTCAATAATTCTGTCGCATTTTAGAGCACGGAGAATTATGGCTTAAAGGTAAACTCCAAAAAAAAAGACATTATTTATTTCTTGATTGAGGCAGTACGAAGTCTGCCAGGTCAGCTAGTCATCTATATAGAGGATACTATGACAATTAACATGTGAATAATCCCCAGGCTCAAAGCTCCCCGGGTAGTAGCACGACCGCCTCGTCTTCAGCGAAGGGCCGCGCGTCTCCAGAGCCTCCCCTATACGACGACCCTGAAGCCTTCCGCAACAACAGCATCGCCTGCCTCCGGGCCAAGGCTCAAGAACACCAGGCCAGGCTACTGTCTAACAATTTGTTACTGCAGGTAATTTACAAGATTATTAACTTGGATCTATTTATAAATGTGGAAAATATGTAGAAGTGATCGAGGCTTATAATAATAATGACTGTTTGTTGTAATGCCATATTAGATTGTACTTGTAGCTTGAGTTCGATCCCTATCTGGATACATCACTGAATCTATTTCTATCTCGTTAGAAAATCTGAGACAACTCACGTTGTTAAGACAGAGTTTATCAACTGCATATATCAATGTAGATGTTAAAAGTCTATGTTTTATTTTACTATTATCTTGTTATAAGTGTTATAATATGTAAACCACTACGAACAAAACTAATTAAAGTCCGACGTTTAATTTCCAGGACTATTTCCACTTGCAGGTGCGCGGGCTCCAGCGAGCGGGCAGCGCGGGCGCGCCGGTCGATGATGACGGCCCCACCGACATCGACGTCGGCACAGAGCCTCCGCCCCTCGACGCACGCCTCTACTGACTTGTGACACCTGTCAACTGTCATCTGTCACCTGTCAGCTGTCAGCTGTCATGCATGTAGTGGCCGGTACCGGAACTATGACTCGAGTGTAATTATGTACATTGTACAAGTATCTAACGATCCCCAGTTTTTCGTGCAATACCCTTAGTTAAGTATTTATCCGTTTAGCTGTTGTGTTAGAATTGTATAAAGTTCGCCCGGCTATAGTTGTGACTATCCTCTATGAAACTTAACGATATGTCGTAAGTGATTAAGACTTTAAATCGAATAGATTCTTTAAAATTAAATTAATCGGTACTAAATAACTCTTAAGTATATTGTAAATGTTGGATGCCTAAGAAAATTATTGTGTCTTATCGGTTCATGTTCGAGAGGCGAATCAAAATTCGTTTTTCTCTGTAAACTTTAATGAGCGACTCTGTTGTACAATATATTTTTATTATAAATTGTATAAATTAATTGTATAGCATTGACGCTAAATATTCTTTAAGATAAATAAAATTATACTAACATTACTGGCTGAAGAATATTATATGGAATGTAAATTTAGTTATGTAATATAAAATAAGTACATACTTAATATATTGAAACCCAAGTTTAATAATAATAATGGAAACTGGCTCTAAAGACAACTATCTCTTTAAAGAACACGATCAGTAGAACCCATCTCGGAAACTATAACACGAACAAAGTTGTCTTGAATTTCGATATTATATGATATGTTGTAAATAATTCTTTCAAATAACAATTAATTAAGTAATGAATTGTCAACGACTTTGTGAAATAGTGATATAAGTAGAATGTGTGTATTAAATAAATTTTATAACGAAACGAATCAACGAATATTATCAGGCCTCGCTGGACTCCACGCTGGGTTGATTGTCTGTGAAGGGTGTCGACTGTAAATGTTAAGTTTAAGGCACTAATATTGTTTTCAACATTCCGAAATAATACGAAAAACTTAAAATTATTATACTACGAGGGAAATGTTAATCATTAAATTACAAAAATCATCAACTAAACTTTCAACTGAACAACTTCTTTGTAGAAAATAACAAATTTCGTCAGCTATATGTTTATAGAAGCAAATTATTGTGAAATTCAATTCGATATATATTATAACTGTATGAGTTTAAAACTGTATGTGCAAATAAAAAACTTATTTTGTATATTATTACCGTTGTCTAAGACCAATACCTTACACATGTACTTAACATTATCTATAGTATTGTAATATATTTATTGAGAACGACATTTTGTAATGTCAACTGTCATCGTAAAACGTTACATTATTTCGATGAATAAAGAAATGTGTAAAACTATACTCGACTTTCCTTTTACCTTTATAAAATAACTTTTTTAATATTAATAATATGGGCCGAAATAAAACATTTCCCAAACAAGGTTGATGTCAGGCAGGCCGGTCGTAAAACAATTAGCCAAAACTATCTACAACATGTTCTGTGGAAGAGAGAACATGTTGTGCCGACCATCGACTTATACTAATGGACATGCCTTAGAGATGAGAATTGTGGCACTCCGAAAGAAAGAGAGGAAACGGAAGTTTCGGTCTATCTTTACCTACCTCTCTCAAATTTATATGCCATGCTTGTAATGAAAACTGAGCGCCAATCATCTATGAGGAAAGAGATAGTGCTAGACCGAAAGCATAGGCCATCTCTCTCACTCTTTTCAGACTAAAAAATTACTTCAGATTAACGGTACAGTACGCGTACGGCATGTCCATTAGTATAAGTCGATGGTGCCGACCGTACATCAAGTGGGACCAGGGCAGAAAAAAGAAAGAGGGAGAAATAAAACAAACAGTAAAATGTAACCAGCATTTAAATAACAATTGCAAAATTACAAAAAATACACATGTATATAAGCGATTATAATAAGTACGTCACTCTGTCCTTACAAATATACAAGAAGATACAAAAATAAAATAACACGTAATATTTAATAATAAGATCATAATTGAAATAAACTTATAAATGTAAATAATATTTCGTAGGTTCAGTAAAGAAATCATTGATTGAACAGGTTCAACACAAAAATCTTAGCTGTTGACTAATAACAGAAAATGATAATAAGAAAAAACTTTGGAAATATGGCTCACTATGTGTTACGAAAAAGTCTTACAGAGGTCGTTTACGAAAGATTTGAACAAATAAATATCATAATGCCCATTTAACATGAAAAAAATCAGTTAAACTTTGTGCAACATTTCTATTCATATTAAAAATGTGACATCCCATCAATTGGTTACCCATTAAAAACATGTAAAACCATCAAAAAGCATATAATTTGTGGCACTTTGTTTGTTTTATCATAATAATAGTTTTAACATCTAACTAATGTTATAATGTAATAATCATTCTTAAGGTAGCACTTCACTTGGAGTTGCGTATTCGGCGCATTTGTCCAAATATTTGTACGTAGTCTAAATAGCGCAAACACGACATCCACACTTGGCATGCCAACAACACGTCTTTACGCGTGTACTTATTTTTGTATGTGTCTTATTTGTGCAAATATATCAAATAAACACGAATAAATCCTCCACACATGGTGTTATTTGGCCGAACACAACAAATAAACGCCAAGTGAAGTGCCACCTTTAGACTTATTTCATATCAAAAGCAATAAAAGCATAAGCATTCCGCAGCTTATAAGTACATTGTAACATACATACACCATGCCTAATATATATAAATATAATATTTTCATACTCTTCTGTTATTGAGAACTGTTCTCAGATCTGTATAATAAAATATATTTTTCCTCATTTAAAATCGTGTATAAAATATAAAAAAATATTGTTTTCTGACTTTAAATCTTAATTACGTCAGGTAAGATCGACACTTTCATTACATAAAATATAACAAAAATAATAAAAAATTTTGAATAACTTGTTTGGAGAAACTACTAATATCTTAAATTACGTCTGTCTGTACAGACGCCTAAACCACTGACTGATTTTAATGAAATTCGGTACATAGAACTAAAGAACATTTTTTAACAGAAAAAGTAAAGGTTCTTTAAGATATAACATAGTTACATAGTTTCTTAATGATTTATATATGTTAAAAATAAGATTCATTTTCATCATTTCATTAATATTTCTTTTCACTACACTCGTTGTACATTATTGTCATAAATATAATTGTATCATCATTTATATCTCTGTTAAAACAAAAACAGGAGATTCATGGAAAATATTGTATATACCTACATGTGTTCTGGTTGACATAGACTTCATTTGTTAATATTTCCTCGATCCAATCAAAATATAATAATTTACACAGATGTGTGATCTTATATGAATATCATTATTAAATATTAATTTGAGAACATCATAATATAATAAAATTCATATATAACAATACATTCGTATTTATATTTTATATAAACAATTTGTTCAAGACAATTTATTTTCTTGGAATTACCATTTTAAGAGCACCTTTCAAATTTAAATCACATGTACAGGTTTTTTTAGCAAAAATTCATGACCATTATTGTAAATATTAAAAGATTTGAGTCATTACTGTGGTATAACAAATAGGACATATATATAATGAACCCTTCTTAATACTTCTACTTAAACATTTATAAGCCACCAACAATCCGGTCATCTTAAGACAAACATTTTTAATGACTAAATAATATTTGGTTTCTTATAACTAATATATTAAAATGGCCATCACTACAATAAAGTATACAAAACAGCTTCAGAGACAATTACATTGACAATTAACACTTCAATGACATGAATGGGAGAGTGTCATTTATGGATAGCAAAAATTAGTAACAAAAAATATATATATAGATATATATATATATATATATATATATATATATATATATATATATATAAATATATATATATATATAGATATATATATAGGTATATAACTATCAGCAGTATATTTATAGACTGTGACACATACAGTTGTTAAAGTACTGACTAGCTTATTATAATTCATAGACTGTGACACATGAAGCATCAACTTCCCTATTTACCGTTTCGACAGAAGTTAGTTTAACTGAGTGGAGAGATATTTAACTGAATCATAAGTAACCATAGAATCATGTATACATAATATATAAATGCATAATATTTGTCTTATCAATATATATATGTTAGTGGTAGTCGATGGGTCCACATGTTTCGGAATCTTCGAAGCTGCGCAACAACAGGGAGTAACTGTGAACGCACAGGATGCAGTACATGAGGACACCTGGAACAAAAAAAAATACATGTATGACACACAAACAACAACAACACTGTATGTGACTGACTGTTGTACAACAGAAATATATAGAAAATAGGGCTAACTTGGAATTAATTATATTCAAAACTTTTTTGGATCAAAGTTTTAGGGGGGAAATAATTCATAAGCTTAAAACCAAATCCGTCCGGTGCGTTAGCCGCCATATTGATTTAAAGGGTAAGTTTTTTTAAAACTATAACTCCTTTTTTTTTCTAAAATTGAACCAAAGTTGTAGAAGCTTTAATGATTGACAATTTTAATTTTATTTCTTATTACTCAAAATTCGATACATTGATCTCATTTTTGTAATTTTTTACAGATATATCCGTTAATAGTAATTGTATGATAAAAACCAAATATAGAGAATCAAACTTGCAATAACATTTTGTAAAAACATAGTTAAAAAGGTTTTAAATTCAAACCAATATGGCGGCTAACGCATAAATTGGATTTTGGTCGAATCTTCGGTTTTATGCTTTTATGACCCAAACTAAGCACTGGCCCAAAAATAATTAGACTATAATTAATACCAGGTTAAAGTATAACTAATAAAGGTTCAATAAATAAAAATGTTGACGTAGGTATAATACTCCACAATTCCATCGTCAATGAAGCCATAGCACAAAATTAAAAAAAATCTTAACCAGACTGTCACAAATTGACATTGACAAAAGATGACAACTTAAAATAACATGTCACAAAAATCGTTCGGAAACTCGTTTTAATTAACTACTTCATGAATATACAGTGTGTATGAAAAATTGTGTCAACCCTCTTAACTGCGTTATCAGTATCGAAAATCGAACACAATCAAACAACTTACATTTACAAACTCTTCAATAAAAATAATAAAATTAAATATTAAATCATTATTTTATGTAGAGGAACAAAATGTTTATAAACCCTGGTATAACATGATGAGACTCAATGACGTCATTACAACTGCTGCGCTACTAGTGACGAACTCGAACGTACATTCACATTATTTTGATTGTTTAATCACTTTAAAGATTCACTGATACCACTTTTTTCAAATATCGATACGTTTCACTATGTTACGAATCAATTTAAAATAACAGTTAACTAAAAAGTATACGGCTCGAGAATTCACTGTCTTCATCGTTTTCGTTTAAAATTCATCTGCAGAATGCCATTCTAGGCTCGAAGCCGGTAGGAATTAATAACTGTACTCGACGATAATGGTACGGGTGCCGGCCATTTTCCTTTAAAACTTTCCATACACGCGTATGGTTGACACCGAGTTGATGTCCCACCGAGAGCGTGCTTTGCGTAGGGTCCTGTCGAAAAATATCTAATATGCGTTCCTCTAGAGTCTAGATCGTCATTATTAACCCTCGGCCTTCCCGTATTAGCACGTGGTTGTTCATGGCCATCGACATTTCCGAAATTGTACATGCGTACATATATGAAGACGGTGAAATGCTTTAAGTGACGGTAATGGTATGTTTCTTGGAGAAGCAAACAGTTCGTCATAAAGTCTACGCGATTCCGCATAATTACAATCACATTTCCCTAGACACATTAACCTATTGAAATATTCCTGGTTGGAGTACATTTTATAAAACAACACAATTTTATAAAACCGTAACCAAAAAGTAATCCACTCGGAAGAAATTTCCACGAGGAACTAACTAATAATTTTATTTTATTTTATTAAAAGGGCGGCATAGGCTCGAATAAAAAATATCGATATTTAAAAAATCATAACAATAAATAAATATTTAATATTTATATTATTTCGATTCTTATTTTGATATATCAAACATTAATATTATTTTTGATTGTAAAACACCATTTTAACAGAAGTAGATTAACGATTTATCCTAATAATACAACATAGTTACTTTACCTGAACAAGTTGCAAATTGAACAAGTTATAAAATAAAAAATATGATTGAATCATCATATTTATTATTAAAAAATTTTATTTTAAATAAAAAATTATTTAACATGTAATTATAAGCATAACTATTTATAGCAATATTGAATATTTCGATAGAATATTTTTATCGAAAATATACCTAATTTTTAAACTTGAAAATCTCTATTCGATATTTATCGGCAAAAACCCCCCAATTTTTAAACATTCGAAAACTAACAAAATAATAATAATAACGCCGGCGACCCGGCGCCTGCGATGAATGGCCGTGGATGCGCCGACGCGACTACACGGCGCCATAACCTTGTATGGGTCAGATGTTTGAAACATTTTTTTCAAATATTATGTCAATTTAAAACTTATTTAGCCTATGCACTGTAACTGACCTCTGCTTGATATTTTTTAAAGTTATACTACTTTTAATAATAAGCTTATATGTATACATGCCTTTAAGGACGGACACAGTTTTTAGAAAACGCTGTATGTTTCGAAGTATTTCATCGTTTCTAGATTACTATTATGAAACAAATATAAAGTGTACTCACAGAAGAAAACGGTTCCCTCCACGAAGGTGAGGAAGATGTGTGACCCGGAGGACGTGAAGCCCGAGGGTCATTGAGTATAGTACGTAGGACAGGGAGAGGAGCAGCAGCAGCAGCATGGACCACACCCACACACGGACACCGGTCACCTGGCGCTGGGGACAAAGGAAAAACTATACTCCAGCCAAATTCGATGTGGAATGTTTAATAACATGGCGTTGCTTATGCTCAAAACATTCTTAGAAATATGTACAACAATTATTTTTGATATTAATAAAAATAATTTTTGATGTTAATATAAAAATTTAAGAAATTGATGATTAATAATTATAATACTTATGACCATCTGGAATAATTGAGCGCAAAAATTATACCTCCAATTTTAAAATGATATCAGAAATTACCTCGTAGTTATATAATTCGCTTTATTAACTTTATACATCGCCTCGCAATCGACAGGACTCATTTAAATTAAATTTTGTGTATATTTAAATTTCGCTACAGATCCAATCCCACTCGGACCAGGTTATTCAGTATTACTCATCGTAATCAAATATAAACAATGTTTGATAACAAAAAACTTATAACAATAACGAATTAAAATAAAATAACGATAACAAAATCTAACAATTAATAACAGAACGGAAGAACACCAGAATCAAACACTCGCTAATTGTAAGCAAAGCTAACAACAAAACAAAACAAACATTATGGCGGGCGTATGATGCAACAAAATTACGTAGTTACGTTTCGTTTAACTTTATTTGCGTTAAAAAAATATTTTTTTTAATTAATTAAAATGTAACCGCAATAAAATTTATTAAATTTTATCTGATATATTGGAAGAAATTGTAAATATATGTGGTTGAAACAGTGATTATAGTGCTATATGTATGCTAACCAAAACAAGATGTCTTTTTTTAATCTGTGTGTAATGAAACGCTGTGTGCATGTTAACATTCTTAACCTGTTGTGGTTATACTGCCATTATAATACGACTAAAAATATACACCACCACTTACGAAGAGCCTGTATCTATTATTATATACCTTCCTAAATCTGCCAATTGCTTAAAAAACACTCCAAATGTTACAAACCTGCGATTTCTTTACGTCAGTTTTAAAATTTAGGGTTGTTAGTTTTGTAGTAATATTATAGTGGTAATTAAAGATTTTAAACTTTTATTTTAAGCTAATTTTCATATAAATTATGTATTGAGCGGCTAAATAAAATTTTTGGATTCTATATTAAATTAAAATTTTTGTGTTGAAACAGAAAATTGTGTTATAATGAATATAATTGTAATTATAATAATTATTACTTTTTATTAAGAGTGTATCAAGCCTAATTATGATGACTCATGGTTTGTTTTCTAAAATTCCAGATTGAATGTGGCTGGAGTATAGTGGCTGAGAGGTCAAGTTAGACCGGCCAGAAGAGACAGATCTCTTGTGTAGTATGAGTATATGACTATATCAAACTGGTTATATTTAACATAGCAACTGTGAGCAAACTCTTCAGTTTCTGTTTTATTAATTTCATTAACAACACTCTTTACATACAAAGATCATTATAATTAATTTATTGTTATTTTATATAACATACATAGTGGGACGTTCATCAACATCATAGAGACCTAGTTAGGTGCTGGTTATGAAGAGTTTACTTACGTTGACACAATGAATAAATAAATTCAATATATCTACTTACGAGTAGTAAGGAAAAAGATGCGAGATAAAGTTTAGGAGTTAAGAAACATTATCAAGATGGTTTGTTTACTAGAACAGACTTATCTTATAATCTGAAGCATACCTTATGAACAGAGTAGATCAGAATGATGGCTAGCGTCACGTGTAGGACGGTGAACACAGCAAGCGACACAGCGATATAGTACACCTTAGAGTAAAGGCCGTCTACTGCGTCTTCTACTGTACCCATCAACTGACCGGCCTCCCGAGCAGTCACCGAGTATAACACCATCAGACCCAAAGAAATCAGCTGAAATCAGTACAAAGAAATATGTGAATAGAAATAAAAATATGAATGGTCATTAGTTGACTTAAGTCAGAACTAGATGGCGTTGTCATCAATATAGATCACACTAATTATTGTGAGAATTGATTTGGTAGGGTCCTTCATTTTTGTATAGTTGTTAGTCTCAAATATATCTATTTACTAGATCAGTGTACTGTGTGGTTATATTTGTATATAAGCACACAGTATACCACAACCCTGGGGTATTGATTTAGTATTAAATTTAGCACAATTACTTTTTCAAACTTTTTATATATTAATAAATAAGAATAAGTCAAGCATTTTATAATTTAAAATACTTATGTTATAGATTATAGTCATGGAAACTAATAAAGGCTAATTATTATTATTATTATACCGCAACCCATGAAATCAAATACAAATTGAACTAACAGAATAACTTAAAATGACTTTCAAATACTTTGATATGAAAGAAATTATTAATACTTTATATTTAACAACCACTTATAAATAACTAGCTTTTGCCGCGACTTCGTCTGCGTGGAATAGTGACTTCCGGCAGATTTTTGGTTCTTCCCACATAGTTCCCGTTCTTGCGGGGTTTTCAAAATGGTCGAGTTCCCGTAGAATTTTCAGAATAAAACCTATGTTTCTTATTCACAATGAAGTACTCTTAATTAACAACATATTTATTTGTTTATTTGAATAAAGGTTAATATTATTATGTTGATACAATTTAAACAAATTATTTCGACCAAATTAGGTACCATAAAAACGGTTTTTGTGAGTTAATCTTAAAAGATAGACATATACTGTCGCGGACTGTTTTTTAGATTATTAAAAGAGCTATTATTCCTTGATACATATTTTTTGTGTATCTTGAACCGTTTTCACGGCGCACGCAACGGAAGGCTTTCACAGATGAAATAATTTCTCCCGTTTTTTACACATTTACCACTATATTTTTTGCTCCTATTGGTCGGAGCGTGATGTTATATAGCCCACAGCCTTTCGCGATAACTGGACTATCCAACAAAAAAAGAATTATTCAATTCGAACCAGTAGTTTCGGAGATTAGCGCTTTCAAACAAACAAACAAATTCTTCAGCTTTATAATATTAGTATAGATGTTACATTTAAATAATGCAATTTATATGACTTTTATATAATTCTGGCGACATATAGGTGAAAAATACTTATAATACATGATCTTTTAAAGCATAATTATCTCTGACTACCCTCGAAATCACTGGATTCACCTCAAGTCTCTACCTGAATACATAAAAAACATCAAGAACATACCAAATGTAGATATCCAATGATTTTGGAGCCCGTCTCCAGTCCCAGGCACCAGCAGAATGATGTTATGTGGATCATGTTCAGACACTCACTATACGACACTGGAATGAGACACAATACTATCAAGATTGACTCGTAACAAAAATTATATTGATATTTTGCTAGAGAAATTCATTTTGCGAGGCATAAGTAAGAGATGTAAATAGAACCAACTATAAAGGGTGACTGGTGGTTACTATCTCAGGCAGGCGTGGTAGTTGTCGATCATAAAACAAATAAAAATTAATATATTCACAACATGTATGAGTAAAGTTAACCCTATGCTAATAGCTGGGAAATTACAGATTAGGTATACAAGAAGTCACACATACGCGTGTCGTCATTTGTGCCCCCGACGCGTCCACACTTGAACACTTGGAAATTTTTTTGTTGTCAAAAATAAGGAATTTTTTTTACATAATTCGAATGAGAATATGTACCGAACTTAAATATTGATAGTAATTCACCACACCCTGTATATGAACATATATACTGTGATAATTATACAATTTTTTTGAACATTTGTAAATGGTAGTAGTATATATTTTCCGTATTAATTGTTCATTAAATTGAAACATGTAATTAACACAAATAATTTAAAATATTGATTAATGTGTTAAATGTCACATTTTTGCAAAAAAAAATTGTATTCCTATATTTCTTTAATCATTTTTAATCGCATGGGTATATAGAAACCATTTATAATTTATTTCTATACTTTGTATTACATATAAGGATGTAAGATAAGGATATGTGATATAAAGTAGCTAGTTGAAATTTCACTTATTCAAATAAATTAATTAATTTATTAAATGTACTTATACTTTTTAAAATAATATATTTAGTTTCCTTCAATTTTCAACTATTATCAAAGTAAATAGTCACCAGCCCGTTTGGTATTAATGATAAGACAAATAAACCTTTGTATTATATATGCTCAATCCAATATTGATTGTTACTTATATGATTAATTACATTTTTATTATTTACTTATAAGTTATTCACAAACTCATACTAAAATTTCACTCATGAATCTTTATGAAATAGATAAACCAAAGGGAGATAGAAGGAAAAGATTGTTATAAAAGGACCATGCAATGTGAAACAGACAGACAAAATATATATGAGGAAAATATGTCAGTGTTTTGAGGTAAATTATAATAATCTGATCAGGAAACACTAAAAATATATTACATACAAAAAATAGAAGAAAATATCAAATGAAACAAGCAATGTAATGACCAAGGAATGATTACTGGTATCATAAAAAATTTAAACAAATATATTAAAAATGTATTTAAATGAGTTTAGTACAAGAACTACACAAGAATCAAATATAAGTGACACCAGGATGAGAGTTATGACAGTGAGAAAATATTCATTATAAATGCATACAACTAAGATCTACACTGAATACTTGTAAAAATACTTATAAAAAATATACTAATTATATACAATATGACTACTCAGTGGCCTAGTGGTTAAAAAACCCACCTCTCAAGCATGAGACAATTTTTTACCTGGCAAATAGCAATGTGATTTTTCCGAGTAATATTTACTTTCCAAGACTATTTAGACATCACTGATTTATACATTCCCAAAGAGGTTTGATGTCAGGCAGGCGGCCGGTCATAAAAACAATAAGCCAAAACTATTCACAACATGTAAGACCCTGGCTAAAGCTAGGAAATTGCCAGGAAGATACAATATGTAAACTAACTACTACTAAACTACAAACATAATATAAACTAACTACTACTAAACTACAAACATAATATATATGTAGACCCAACATCTTGGAAAATATAAAAAAATTAAAATAAATACAGTATTAGTGGAAGCAATTTTCACAACATTAAGAGAAAAATAAACACTGTACATGCTTGTATATTTATTCCTACTTATGTTTATATATATTTAAAGTTTATGTGAGAAGAAAATCATGTCTCTAAACAAACATTGCACGTGTTATCAGATATCAAGGTCGTAATCATTCAGTGTTTGAACTGAGATAATGAAACATTCCAGTTATAGAAATTATTCTTAGAATAACAATAACTCTCAATGTTAGAGATTTAAACAAACTCATATATAATGTTCTATATCAGAATAAGAAAATTATATGACTATTAATTAAAATATTGAAATGTGTATGTTGTTTGATGGACTTTTAGGGGGAGGTTCAGATTGCTTCTCCTTTTAATAGCATTCATTAACTGAGCTGAGAGAAATAAGAATAATATAAAGAATTCAGTATATTTAAATACATAATTATTGGTATTAAAATAACAAGTATTCTTTTATAATGTTCTGAATGATTACTTGAATCCATTTATTCATATCAATTTTTAATATTCGAATTGTTTTTCCCCACTATTTTATATTAACTACATTTTAATTACACCTGTCTGCTTTGGATTATTAATTACATTATATAGGCTCTTTCTCATAATATGTAAAAAAAAATATTTACCTTTACAAGGGTAACAGACGCTATAATATTATAAAAACCGGCGTATCTTTAAAATCTACTGACACTTGTTTAGTTAATTATTGTTTCTTTTCTTATTTTTTTTGTATATTATTGTATTAAATAATCAAAACAAACTGCTGAACGACAGTACTGCGTTACAACCGCCTTTAGATAACAATAAGTTTACATTGATCGGTGATTGACGAATGGATCGATGTTGCCATTCACTACGATATGGTGTTCCTTAAAAAATAATGCTACATCGATATTTGTTAAAATAAAATAAGTAAAGAATAAAAATATGCTATATATTGTTATTCCATCTCTTGCAAGGTAAAGTGAAAGAAAATGCCAGTTCTATCATTAGTTGGCCATATTATTTGTATATTCTAATACGTTATAGTACAAGTTCTTCGTATTTGTCTTTTTTACATAAATATTTGGTTCACCGGCAGCTTCACGGCCAACCAGAGGGTCCATAAAAATAAATAAAGGACTTACTTAAGAAATATTGTAACAATAACATAACTAAAACTTAAAACTTGTGAACTTTGCATCAGTTTGTAACATGTGTCTATTATCCGTACTAGGGTATTTATTTTCAATTCCAGTCTCAGACGATTGAAATACATCGATTTAGTCAACCAAAATTATATCTTTTTTTATATTGTAGACAAACGTAAGTTGTCTATGCACTTGTCATAGGAAATAAGTAACAATGCGGGCGCTGCTACTAACTTGACGTCAATAAACGTCCCGTCGCCTCGAAAAAATATACCACTGGCTTCATTTACGGTTGCCCAAGGGTGGTATTATACATATACAATAAAGCAAATTGTCACCCATTTGTCACATAAATATAATAAACAAGTAATGTGTAACTAAGAAAAAAATAGAAAATGAGAACAAAAACTAGAAATTATTGATATAGATTTTTATTCCAATTCGTTTTCTCTTTAAAATAATATCCAATATTTTTATGAAAACCAAGGAAGAGGTAAGAAGACGAAAGTAAGGAAATTATATCGCTATTTAATGATGGTGGTCTGTTAGGGAAAATTAAATAAAAAAGGTAATTTACCCCCAATTTCATAAAATTCTTAAAGCTGACAACACTGTATGATAAATATTTTAAGAGGAGACGAGAATAGCATCTTAAAATGGATTATTTATATATAAAAGAATCCAACGTGATCTGGGTTTATACAATCATAATTTGATAACAGACTATTAAAGAAACGAATTAGCTTTATTATGTCATAGTTCCCATTCGGCTATCAAATTGTTAAAATTTTATGACTAAATATACTTACCACAGCAATTAGAGGTAATTAGTAACATTAAGTCCCAGCTATAATTCGAAGTTTGTAGAACAAAAGTGTGGAGTACATGAAAATATGTATATAATTTCAATTTATTAATAAAAAACAATTCATTTATAGTAAATCTTATTTTATTAAAAAAAAAGGTTCGTATACCTTACTACATATTATGTTCGTATAGCTTACAAAGCCATATAACTTCAGGGACTTTTGAATAAAAACAAACAAACCTTTATCACATTACTCTTATTATGAGCACCACACCTTATTTCTAATATAAATACAAATATTTTTTTATAACAATTAATTCAAAACCAAGTTAAATACGTTTAACCGAGTTAAGTCTCTTCACTTTTACCGATTTTTTATATCTATTTATCGTAATAATATCTCACATGGCCACATCCCTAATCTCCACCGGCTGGTACCTCCGTGCTGATCTCTGGAACCGGTTCTCATCATCTTCATACATTATCTGTTTGTGTCTGCTGTGAACCACGATGATACAGTACACTGATATACCTGAAATATGTTTATACATGAAATAGGTTTCATCTGTAAATTAATGGAATACAAGTATATGTAGAATGAAACTTCATAACTCTGTTTGACTAAGGTATCAGACGAAAGTTTTTAAATATGTATATGTACCAATAATGAGAATCAAGACTTTCGCGAGTATTTTTCGGATTAGGTACGAGGTGTTTTTTATTGTTTTAAAAAACTACATACTCCCGACGTTTCGGTTACTTTTCAGCAACCGTACTTAATCATGGGCAGGCATCTCGTCTGCCGGTTGTTGAAGTAACCGTAACATGGGAAGTATTTAGTTTTTAAAATAATGAAATACGCCTAGTAATACGAAAAATATTAGTTGCATTGGAATATACCATCGACATTTTTAAACAGTGTGTATATAATGTATATGTATTGTTCACGTTACAACTATCGTCTGGTTAACGTATCAAAGGTACATCTTACAAGCTCTAGTGAGATGAACGATGATGATGATGATCTCTATCTCCAGCATCTCCCCCGTGTCCTGCAGGATGAGACTGATCCCGGTGAGGCAGAGCACGAAGAACACGGCCGTCAGGATGCCCGTCACTATAGTCCAGGGTAGCGTCAGGAATGGAAGCTTCTGGAAGTTTATATGACGTCACTATCAGTCTTAATAAATAAAATGATGATTGAACTTGGTGCCTGTTTTATCCTAGTGTTGACGTTTATTACAGAAATTGATAATGCTGGTTCATTTTTGCTTTTACTTACATTGAAACAAAATACAAATACTTTGCTTTAATTAAATTGAAACAAATTTTGGTAAGCCATTAACAATAGTCAGTGGCGGCGTAAGGCTTGGGCGACGTGAGCCACCGCCTACGGCCTCGCGGTACAGGAGGCCTCGCGCCTCAAAAAATTTTTAAAGCGAGAAAAAAATATATAAATAAATCAATTTTGTTGATAATGATATTTTTTAGACTTCTTTGCCGACTAACAGAGTGCCGCATATCCCTGGTTTTAAAAATACCAAAAAAAACGTAAGTATGTACATATATAATTGTGTTATTCAATATTGTTTATTTTTATGACTGTACTTACCAATTTTGATAAGAATAGTGTGGTCAATGTTTTAATAATATTTAGCAAATAAATAGATAGTGTTTAAGTATCTTGATTGCCCCCGAAAACAGTGACGTTTTTAATTGTTTTTGTTTTCTTTGTGATTTGTAATACACCGGTAAGTATCTGTACTCGTCTATTTTACATAAAGTAACAAATATTTAATTGGTAATAAGTATGTAACGCAATAATTACTCGTATATAAAATATGCTTTATAATATCTTTTGAAGGAAACCAAAGCTTTAAGGGTAAAAATCGTATCGACGATTAAGTTTTTAAAACTAGCTGGTAGTAAGAGCTTCAGGTTGCCATAGAATAGGGCCTCGCGAAATCTGTCTTGCCCACATCCAATTTAGGTCTTGCCCCGCCACTGACAATAGTGACTGTAATTCTTCGAATGGATTGGAAGCAAATATTTTTTTAGTTTGCCATTTTGTAAAAAAAATAACTTTAATGTTTATTACATTTTTAATTTTCAATAACACACATCAGTTTATTATAATTTCCGATACCATTTATATACAATTCCTAAGCTACATATCTGTTATCCTTCAAAATTTATGATTTAGACAATGATTTAATTAAACTTTTTAATTATGTAAAGTGTTTTTCTCAGCTGCCCGAAATTCCAAGTATTTAAATTGATATAGGTACTTATATGTATGTTATACCTTAAAACTTATAACCTATACCTAAGACTTCATGATTGTCCCGATGTCAGGATAGCAATACCATTCCATAGCTTGTGTGGTATCAGGAATCTTCTGGTTCACACGGCTTGGTGTTCGTTCCGCGGAGTCAGTAGCCTCACTCGTTATATGATATTTTATCCATACAACGATTTGGCCGGCGATCTTCACTTATTATCAATTTATAACGCTTACGTAACAATTTTACAATTTTTAAAGTAATGGTTATAACTTATATTAAGTTTAATCTCACAAAAGAAGTACCTTATATGCAGCGAGGATAAGCAGCAAGGAACAGAAGAGTGTGACTCCGCTAACGATAGCTGCGGTCCCGTAGAAGATGTACTTGTGTGAGGAGACCACGCCGACTGTTCCCAGAGGAGCCAACCTCACCAGCAACACGTATACCACCAGCTCCAACAGAGACCAGATCTGGATACATGAAAACAATAATACGTACTGTTAGAACTGCTTGGAGATACGACTTTTTAAAAGAATAAACTCATTCACAATACTAGAATTGTTTATTATTATTTTATTTATTAAAATGAGATAATTCACTAAAAGTATTGGTATTGGTATTGTAGAGAGCTGGAACTAAACTGAACGCCAGGTAGTCATTTTGTTGGAAAGAAAAGAAGCTGATTTGGTTTTTATGTCTGGAATGTAATGTGAATTACGTGTGGGTCTAGATCATCAATATTGGAAACATTCCACTTTTATAACAGTACGTATAAATCGTAGAGTACTGGGTAAAAAGTGGTGTTTATTGGGAGGGATGAGATCATCTAAAAATTGTTTTTAGATACTTAATTTGATTTATAGCTTCTTTTATACATAATAGGATTTTAGGCAGACCCTGGCTAAAGCTGGGAAATTGCCAGGTAGAAGAAAAAGAAGGATTTTATAAAGAACCAAGTCAACTCAACCCAACTTTGAAGATCCAAATTGTTGAAGTTATAAAAAACTTCACCTCGAGTTTATAATATCAGATTCAGCGTTAATTTTCAGTTTTATATTAAATGGCAACAGATTTTCAGCAATGACTCAGGAAGTGAAAGAAAAGTGTGCATCTTATACTACATATTAATCGTTTTCCGTTCCTTATTTAATAATCGTTATTAGTACTATAATTTAAAGAGACTTATGACTGAAAAAAAATGATATGCTCCGTGTGTAGTTGTGTTCAGCATATGAAACGTTTTAAAAACTCTTTTTATATCCATGATACGAAACACAAGATGTATTAATAAGTACATTAGGCATAATTTCAATAGAAGCCGCCGTTCCGCCGCTATCGTCAGATAAACAAACAATCATCAAGGTTATTACGTCATTCACCGACCAGTGACATCTGCTTCATGGTTGAAACTTGAAGTTCGTCTTATATAGAGAATCAGATGTTTTGACTTACGACAAAGAAGTGTATTCCGTAAACGGGATTCCCCGTCTATTTCTGTCACATTATATAGTGAAATATTTCGCCTTCATATACAGAAAACATTAAATATCACGCTACTTCCTAACAGTTTATAATAACACGTAGAAATTATAAGACGTTTCAGAACTCACCGCATATAAATAGCCTATGATCAATGTACCAGTGTGTAAATTAGCGCAGCAACAACACTTCTTAACCATAGGCACTCCCATGGCGAGAAAAATATCACACACACATTTATATATACATTGATTTTATTATATACATATATAATATGTTATTAAAAGTGTCACATCGCGTCTTGTGTGAGTTGTGGACGCGTTATCACTGATTTTATTGTCAATGATTTTGCCGCGATAACGTTTAAGGCGTAACTACCGAAACAATGGATTGAGTGTTATCAAACGAACAATCATTTAAGTTAAATCTAATGATATTATTAGCTCCTGAAATAAAAATCTATATATATATATATATTAATAATTAAAAAAAATAAGAATTTTATGATCTGTTCAATCAATTGTTTTTGTTTACAATAGTTTAAATTTACGTATATAAAACACGTTATTTTTTACCGCCTTTATTGTGTACCTCCTGCAGGAAAAACTATACACAGTGACATATAATGTAATCACTTTAACATTTTTATCAGGCGCTACCACTTTTCGTTTTGATTTAATAATATTTTGATGATTTCATTGAAAATGAACAGAGGCCTTGTGACTGTTTTCTAAAGTTTAACAGATTAAAAATAAACAAAGCACATTATTTACATGTCAATGATGATAAATCATTAGATATTGCATGTATTTTTAGTTCTATTTTTTTTTACTACAGTGTTAATTTTATTTATCTAATATCAGAAAATGAGAGAACGAGTTTTTAACATCGATTCTTTTGTAGTCTTTTATCCCAGCTCAACGAAGTGATGCTCTTATTTCTTTATATGATAACCTTGTAACAGTTTGTCCGTGTCTCCATGTAAGGAGTCAGCTAACTTCGGTAGACCTTTCATTTACCATCAATCATATTAAAAGATCAACAACATTCCAATGGGAACTTCTTTTATAATAATAGTACCAGAGACCGCGAGCTTTTAGATCTCAAAGATCGATTGAAACCTAGCTGTTACAGGTGTTTGATAACGGTACTCTGTCTGTGAGGAGACTTATATGCTCGAGCTTGTAACAGTGAATAAGTACAGTTAATTTCTGCCTCATAGACTTCGTAGTATTTGGCATTTCACACGTACATATATCAGGACTTATTGAGGCTACACATGGTTAAATGCAAGAGCTTATTCCACACTCACATATTCTTTAACAGCTAATCTCTATCAACGCATTTCTTCATCCCCTTCTATCGAGTTTGTTGCAAGATTAACCTTTCTGTCCTATATAGTTGGTAGTAGTAAGTCTATCGTATATATAGCTTCCTTTTAATTCAGAGTAATGAATTTAACTTACATGGCAACTATATTATGTCTTTATCTATTGTAGTATATTTATTATCTCTTATAGATATATACTATAATCTATCATCTATGAATACTTCAACTATTTATCAAAAATTCTACATGTGTTTGTTTTACATTTAATATTGTCATGATATCAACTACCGGCAACATTAGAATGACTCACACAACTTCAGATAGATACTTTGATAGTAAATTTTTATTCTATTACAGTAACATGACCCAAATACGTTAAATTAAACTAAAAAAGCTTGTATTTTGTTTATACAAATGATTGTGATGTTTTGAATTTTTCAAAATAGTACATTCGACCTTAGAATACTTGTTTCTGGTCACACTAAGTTTCAGTCGACTGTAAAGATCTTTATTCAACGGTTTTCCCCGTAAATCTGTAACGATGTTTCAAATTAAACCTGTTTTTATAGATCGATGTCCTGGCTGATAGTGATATCAAAAACAATTAATAACAAGCCATTATATGTATTATCTATATATCGATAAATTATCACTAGAAGCAAGATATGAAATACTTCTGACTACTACGAACCGAACCCACTTAGTGATTATACTATAACTATGTTGAAACATGTTTGTTATTTAATAGTGTTAATATATTAAGATGTGTATTCCTTTAGAAAACTGTTGTTTCTGTGTCAGTCTGGATGTTGGAGCCAAAATAATGTCGATCGTTAACCTGGTAAGTTGAATAGTTCTTATATTTTAAAATTAAGATTATAGTAAACTTTACTTAGATCAGATTTTTCATACTGATAAAATTGTTACTTAACGCGAATCAAAAAAACCTAAACCACGACAGCTAATGAATATAGAAATAAAATTTTAATTGTCATTAAGAAAAATAAGTTTTACGACTACTAAATTTTTTCGGTAGGTATATTAAATATTAAGTATATTTGAAATCGTAATCTCAAAGATTTCTATTAACAACTCATTCCCAACACACGTACTTGAATGAGCAAATTCTCTCATATATATTTTCTTTGGTTGTTTTAAACATGGCCTTTATTTGTTCAAACACGTGCACAGCATACTCTGCTAATGTCGTGTAGAATTTACTTTTAAGTGAAATAAAATTTAACCGCCACGACTGAAAGTCACAATTAGGAACCTTGTTAGTGGATCTAAACAACAGAAAATCATTTAAATGCAAACGTAGGAGATTAAAAAATTAAAAACTAATACTAAAAATATATAAAAGTTAAACATTTATCACAACTTAATTCTGCCCGTTATCACGGTTGCTGCAAAGTAACATAAACGTCGGGATTATATAGTTTTTAAAACATAATAAAATACACGAAATAATCCGAAAAATATTAGTTTCATTTAGATTTAGGTAATTCTATAGATTTTGTTTTCATTATATTATATATCTACTAAAGGGACTGAACACCACTATAGATTTCTACATGAGGATCACATTTTGTATATTTTATAATATGTATAATGTAGAGCACTTAAACATGGCAGACAATGAGACAAATTATACGAAAGAGTTGACAGAGGATGTTTCAAACAAGAAAAAGGATACTTACATATTCTTTAGATATACTCGTAGTAATCTCCGTGAAACGGCAAGCAGTTAATGATTTTATTAAGTTTATATTTAATATATCGGAGCTATCAGCTTTAATAACGGATGCGACATGAAAATATTTTGAGCCTGTCATCAATTATTATTATTTAAACTCATTAGTATCATGATTATTGTTAAAAGTAAAACGAAATCAAAGATTGTTTAAAAGGAGAATAGAACTATATTTGAATTTGAGTATAAATATGACGTTTGGACGAATGAGAGTTCAGTTAGGGCCGACCACTGAATAATGTGATTATGAAGAACCTTCGAGACATACAGGAACATTAAGAACAATTGAAGTTTAATTTTAAAATATCATGGAACGTTCTGGAAAAAGTGACATTAGTGACGTCAGCGAGGCTGGCGTCGCTCTCTTTAAAAACAACGAGTTTGTAATAAATCCAATATATATATATATATATATATATATATATATATATATATATATATATATATATATATATATATATATATATATATATATATATATATATATATATATAGTCACTAGGTATACTTACTACAAGTATACAACGACACACTATATACACAGCGTTTCCCGTTCCTCATTCAATAAAATAAGATAATGATATTAATGATTTTCACGTGTACTACATACGCGTTTTATTATTTTATACCTACATTATCTCGACGTTTCAGTTCCTCTACAGAAAGTGTCTGTGTTTCAGATTACGTCGATTTAAACTAATAAAAAACGCGTAGTATCCGACGAACTTGGTTCCATTTAGACTAAGATCATACCAGATTAATGAATGAAAAACTGTTAACCCTCCGTATGTACCTACTCGTAGTGTGACGATGTGTATGTAGGTACTGTGGTAAATTTTACAGTTCAAAATAAAAATATATAAATAAATTGAAAACTTTAACAATCGTATAAGTGTCATATCTTTAATAAAACATACCTTTTCATAATGTTGTGTTAGAGTAGTGTAAAGAACTCAGTAAAAAAATGAATGTCTTGTACAAGTTACAGTATTGTGTAATGTAGCGTCAACCGTTTGTTATACGATGTTCCGTCACCAGGTCGATGTTTAATGGTACAAGAATTTGTAATAACTGCTGCTAATTATAGAGTTCTGTCAATCCCTTCATTAACATGGCATTTATTCGACAAACCAATGAGTTTCAAACTGATTATATTATATCATACGAAAATGTTTTGTTTGTTAGCAAAGTAAAGATCTTTTTACTTCATTCTTAGAAAGGAAAAGTTTGAAGTATGAATTTTTCATCTCTTTAGTGCCACCAATGATAATAATTATTAAATATAATATATCCTCTTCCTGCTTACTCGGACTTTAAGAGTCAAATTCTTGATCAATATTATGACAGATGTCACGCAAACTATATTTAACCATTATCTTCTACAGAGACTATTCAGTACTGTCATTTCTTGTAACTCTTAGCTCGAACTGACCATGACACTTCTCCAATACTTGCTTCTGAGTGTAATTTAGTTATTTAACTGTATATGTATATAAGGCGGGCTCCACGATGGTGCTGATGCTGTACGGCACCGCCGCCATGCTGCCTCCCCCGGTCGAGGAGTCCAGAAGGATCGTGTATGCTGTTATAGCATCCGTCGCTATGTTCGAGTTACTCATAAGCTGTCTCCTCATCTATGGAGTGTTTGGGGTGAGTGTTGATGTAGTGATTACAAAGAAACTGCGGAATGGAATAACTCAGAAGTTTACTGAAATTCAATGATATTCATATTTAGACATCGTAAAACATCGTTTTTTTATGGGAAAGGTGGCAAACGAGCAGACGGCCTACTTGATGGGCAGTAGTAACCTATGGATAGATTCGTTGCCAACCTTGGTTATTAAGAAACAGGGTTGGGAGGTTGTAAAAATGTCAAGAAAGGGTGGGAACAGGGAAGGGGCAATCGGTATATTTTACTCATCAGACGAAACTTCTATGAGAGGGTGGTACGTCCCCGGTCGAGCCAGCCAATGTTCGAGCTGTAGTAACTGACCACAGCTAGACTTTACCACTTTAAAAATCGTATCGTGAAATCCTTTAAGGATGACATTTATCGATCTCTATATAAAGACATAATTCTCTTCATCAGTTCCTAGCGTGTTTTCTTTATATTTCTATTTCTTTCATCATCAGAGGAAGCCGTCCCTCATCCTTCCGTGGCTGATCTCCTGCTACGTGTTGGTTCTATCCCTAGTGTCTCTTTCCGTGTTGGGGACGGTCCTCATCGTGCTCCAGTTCATCCAGAGTCAAGAATCAATCAAGGAAGTCAGCACCATGGTAGCTTTCTACTTCGCGGTGGCCGGTAATACATAATATATATATAAGTAGTAATTAAAAACACTCACAAGAACATGTGGTACCATATAGATTGACATACACGGTATAAATTAAAAAAAAAAACATTCTTCGTCGCAGTAAAATTAAAAGAAAATAAATATAGGTAAATCAATATAAAATACACTTTCATAATATAAAGAACAACTCCTAGCTCCATAATAATATTTGTATCTCAGTTTTTTCATTTTTATATTTCAGTTATTCTGTATTGGTTCGGTTCAGTCATAAACAGCAGACGACATCAGATACTAGAAGGAATTCACACAGGCTACTACACGACGCACGGACTATTGAAAGAGTACCGGCTGTAACTAGCAATTAAAAATTAGCTTTAATTAACAAGAATAAATAAATTAATATGTAAAGACGTATGAACGACGAATATCTTTTTTTAAATAGTTAATAAGTACATTTAGATTTAGTTATGTATGTAGCAACACTAAATAATAATTTGACAGTTAGATTGGCTGTGTAGTGTGAAACAATTTCGGGTTGACAACAAATTATTTAAAAATATATTTAGATAAATTAATAAGTTGTCAAATATAAATTGTATATTATGAATAATGATATTTGAGATTTTATTTTTACAATATAAAAAAATACTATAATAGAGAAAATGATATTTTTATTTACAAAAATTCCCATAATGATAAATAGTATTTTAATAAAGATATAAAGGAACAAATTGAAACCAACTTTTTTATTTGTAACGGTGACATCTTACTTCTTTTCTATTCACAAAGCTTACTTTCAAGTAAATTGTTAATTCTTTTGTTTCATTCGTTTAAAAAACAAATGGTTGAACTTAAATATGGAGAGATGTTTTAGAAGACATCGAGATTATTACAGTTTTATTTAATAAAATCATTATTTAAGTTATATTTTGTTGCTTCTATCTAAAATTAAATAAAACAGCAATTTGATATATACCAAATCTTTCTCTCTGTTGTATTATAATATGTATTATATATAATAATATACACGTACTTGTAAATTCCGTGATGACATAACAGCAGTCCGCGTTCATTCCGACCGATACATGAATCAACATTACGAATCGTGAAAGTCTTGAATTCCAACAATCACGCCATTAAATTAACATTCCTCAGGAAATAACTAATTCTTATATATTATTTATTACATTTAGTTTGTTCTAGTCCTGGGTCTACATTATGTATTATAATGATCCGACTTGTGACTATAATTAAGACATACAATACGACGCAAGCCACGCGCTGTTACTGGAAGAAATTGGTCTTTAGTGATGCTCTCTTAAATTCTCACTTACGTTATTTATTTATAAGAAAATTTTAAATATATTATTCAATAAAACATACATGTATTTAACATGCTATAGAACTGAACATAAATGTTTTGTTCATACTGTCACTACGGAAAGATTTTTCTAATTTTGAGTACACAGCCTCATTCATACCAGTAAGTAAAGGTTTTCTTAAATAAAGCATACTTTGTCATCCTTATTGTTCTATATAACGTTAGCTGATGTATGTATGTATAAATATTAGTAGTATATTATGTATTTTTCACGTCTCTAAAGTTTTCACCATAATACAATACAAATGACAGAGATATTATAAAACCTAGTCCGTGACGACACCGCTCAGTTGACACCAGGGTACTTGACGACGATGGTGAGTAACAAACAACAGTTTATACAACACTAGTTTTTACCCGCGACTTCGTTCGCGTTTATTTCGTCATTAGTAATATATGTGTAGCTGACCGGACGAACTCTATTCCACCCTAGAGGCCATAAATATTTATGTGTCCATCGAACAGAACTAAATATCCTATGTCCATCTCCTGGTTCTAAGATATTTTCAATTTTCAACCATTTCCCTTCAGCTGTTTTGAGTTATAAATAGTGTAACTGACACGACTTTCTCATATTATTATATAGATTTATATCAACAACGGATTCATTAACATATAAACAATCAAGAAGTTTTACAATAGTTGTTATATATAAGTAAAATCGTTTTAATATAGATTATTGTATTGCTCTAAGATCAAATAACATTTGAAATATAAGTTACCCATCTCTACGGCGTCGTGATTACAACATGTAACATCTTATTTGATATCAGACCTTGTTTTTTATTTTATTTTTGTTATAACCAAGTGAAATGAATTCAGTGATATTGATATTTATTGCTTAAAACTAATTTTTTATGTCTGTGTTCGTTTTACAATAACCATTATAAGTTTCTTCATATCAATTAATAGGTCACTGTTTGATCTTCTCTCTGTTCTTCTGTTTTAAATATTTTTCTTGTGAAATTATGAAGGAAGTTTTGGATAATATATAATGAAAACGAATATAATTATTAATTATTAAAAAGACCCGACTTTCATGCACGAGAGTCTGGCCCTGGCAAGTACTAATGTGAATTTTCCGAGTCATATGTACTTTCTAACAGTATTTGGACATAACTGATTAATGCTGATTCCCAAAAGAAGTTTGATGTCAGGCAGGCGGCCGGTTCGTAAAAACAATTAGCCAAAACTATTCACAACATGTAAGGTAGACCCTGGCTAAAGCTGGGAAATTTCCAGGTAGAAGAGAGGGAATAGTAATAAAATAAATGGATATAATTCTGTTATTTTAAAGTATTTCTCAGTAACATAGTGCCGTGTATTCTATATGTTCAATACATCTGAAGGTTCTCTGTGTATGGAATGCCGTCAAAGCCTCCTCGCCTCGTATCAATAACTAATGTTACATAACAATGGTGTCCCGCCAACACTTTCTCCTCACACCTGTACTAACTCGCTGTTACAACACACTACATTCTCATCAAACATACCATAACTATATTTAAATCTCTTCTTTCTTACTATTACTAATGAATTATGTGTTTTTAGTCATATTATCAATTTTTATTAAATTTATCATTCTGTAATAATCCCTACTAATATTATAAATGCTACAGTAACTCTGTCTGTCTGTTACGCTTTTACGCCTAAAGCACTGAACTGATTTTAATGAAATTTGATACAGAGATAGAGTTGACCTTGAGAAAGAACATAGGATAGTTTTTATCCCAGACTTTTGAAAGGTTCTCTTGGAAACGCAATATAACCGAACTCCACGCGGGCGAAGCTACGGGCTTAAAGCTTATACAGTAATATACTATAAAAGGTGAATAGAATATTTTTTATAATTTCTTCCTTAAAATACGTATTTATGTATATTCAAACGAGTTATATATAAAAATATGTGTTTATAACATACGAACACAGGATTTTTTTCGTCTTAATAAATGATTATTGTTTAATCTGTGACAAAAGTCACACAGTTTATTTTAACACCTTTTTTAATGATAATTTCTAAACATACACATTGTTTAACATTTCACTTAAGTAAATATAACGAAACAAAAATTCTAGGCGTCAAATAATCAATTAATCAATTGTTTTCTTTTCAAATACATATAACCTAATTTTTGTGGGTAAAATTCAATCTTTTTTATTTGAATTTTGCTTAGAATTGAATTTCTTGTCATGTTTCTATATATTTCTAAATAATCAGATGATAGAAGTAACAAGTTTCATAATAAATTTACGGTGTCGTCGCCGCTTTGTCTGCCTATACTGAGGGTATAGGAACCGGATTTATCACAAATTCCACGATTCATTTCACTTGTGACCGTCGATAACACGTTTACACGAACCATCCTACAGTTTAACACGTACTTTTAAACTCAGCGGAGCCGATACCTTGGTTATTTTGCAATTACACGTTATAAAAATTACAATTAAGTATTAACTTTATTGATAGTCGTGATCTGCATCTTAAATTTATCTACTAAATGAACCTTGAGAACTGAAAACACTGACATTTATAAATATAACATTGGTTTTTTAATAGTTAAATTTAACTGAACTTTAGTTTCCACTCTAAAAAAGTGAAGTTTAGTTTAAAGTTAAACCTATGAATCATTTCCACCGAAACTGATATCACTAACTATTAAATAGCTCTTCGCTTTCTACAGATGGCGATCTACGTAACTTAAAAATACCTGTCTATGAACCGTAAAAACCGATTGTTTAAACCGATTTTTTGACTTTCAAAAGTATATCTTATAGTATAATAATTATAATAAAACGTTAATTATTATATAAATCATGATGATTGACCCAAATAATACATATTATAAACACAAGTTATGTATGTATGTACGTCGAGATGTTGCGTCACGAACACTTTCACTGAAAACAGTAAGTCACTGACCGCGCTACGGGAAACGAACTATTTGGATTATTAATTCATTAATAACTTGTATATATTATAATGTATATAATATGTGATAAAATATATATGTATATATATATGAATATTTTGGCTATTTAATATTTAAATATTTGTAAAACTTGATTCGAAATTATACTCGCGTTCGTAATGATTACATAAATGATTATTTCCTTTGAAATACCACAATCGTATATGGATTAGTTAATATGATAAGAGCTTCTGTTTATATTAGGCAAATAAAATGTGTTGATCTCATAATTATGACGTATATTTGATGATTACATTAAAAACTAATTATAATTTTATAGTTCTTCAAACCCATATCTATAAAACAAGTTTAGAACGAGTACACTGTGGATATCTGCCAGTCTGTATATATTTTAGCAGCCACTCTTAAAGAAAGTATAAACATATAATTAATACAATACTAATATTAACATCAGTTTCTTTTTTGAACAGTTGTAAAATCAAACTTGTAAGTCAAAGTTGACTAAAATTAAATGTTCATTAATCTTTATTCATTTCAAATATGTTTGTTTTATTAAGAAAATGGAAACAAACTATAATCTAGGATAATAAAATCAAGAAAAAAAATTATATACACACAAGATGCAAAAATTTTTTTTTTTTAAAACACTATAAGGATTCAAATTCGTAAACTTCTCATATCCAGGTAATGGGTAGGGCCAATAACTGACATCCGCAAAATAAGGTAGTAAATAGAAGTGAAATATAGTGTTATGTCTAATAATAATCATATATGTATTTCATGTAAGATCTATTTTTTCTGCAAAACCTTTCACAAATACGAAATGAATGTCAAATTTAATGTTTGAAAGAGTGAACAAAAAATTGACATTCGAAAACAGTCATCTTTTATATGTACGAGTATATCAATAAAAAAGATAAGATTAAAAACATGCACATATCGTCTGTCCGTGATCACGATTACCTTCTGAAAAGTAACCGAAACGTCGGGTGTATGTAGTATAAAATAATAAAATACACGTAGTAATCCGAAAAACATTAGTTTCATTTAAAATTATACTCGCGAAAGTCTTAGATCTCAAAATAGATAAGATGTGAGATAAAATATTTTCACATGACTAAGTAATAAGTGTTCATAGTTAAATAGCATTACAAACGCATTAATTATTTGAATATTGCATACATTAACAATGTATACACAATCTATCGGAAAAAAAAATATTCACTCCCGCCACTTATGTTGACGTTACATTGCAAAATAAGTACGCATACAAAACTATACTTTAAAATATGTACATTTGTACTTTTGATAAAGAATTCAAGTAAAAGTAATAATAATGTGTCTCGGTTATTAGTAAATGTTGATTGTATTTAGAGCTGGGTTCAGGTCTTTGTAAGTTGATATGACCCTTGCCCTTCACATTTTCACCACTTTCTAGACTTCGGTGGGAACAGATCTTACAATATAATCCAACGAAAACGAAATTATAGTACTAAAAACAATACTCCATAAAAATTACGTAAATGGAGTAAAAAACGACCTTTGAAGTAATTTTAACTTTAAAATTTTAGTGAACAGGTGGATCAAATTTAATGGTCGCGACCTATAAAACAATTACCTCAAACTTTAAGCTCACCATTGAAAAGGTTTCGAAATCAAAAGTTCAACATTCTTCCCTCCTGACTAAACTTAAGTTGCTTCGTTTCTAAATCTCATAAGTTCAAAACATTTAATCAAAGCTGCTGAACTTTGCCAAACAATGTGTTCGTTCTGTTTTGTTTCATAACACAACAACATATAAAATTTATACTGTCAATTAAACTACAATCAATACTTTAATGGTATTTTATAATAAGTAGTTCTTCACATAATTTTCTATTGGGTATATTTTCAGAAAGCCATAACCATAATTTGTCTTATAAGTGTGGCGTCTGGAGGTGACATCAGCGGAGATGTAAAGCATGAAGAACAAAATACAACCACGTTATATCCTATCGAAGGTCTTCCTAATTATTTAAAACGTGGAGAAAAAAACATTCATAATAATAGCGAGACACAAGAAGTGCCAGAAACTAGAGCTACTTCAAGCTTAAATAATTGTGTTGATGACATGGAAGTTATGGAACCAAAAAAAATAAACAATGATAAGACTGTTACGAAGTTAAATGATAGTAAAGATGATGGATATGATGAAGTGATCTCGAATAAAGAAGAAAACAAACATGCAACAAATAAAGAAAGAACGGCGTGGAAAATCAACGCGACCTACGCTCCATCTTCCAAAGATGATGAAAGTTATCAAACTAAAGAGATTTTGAAAGATTTCAAACCCAGTCCTCACCTCGGAAGTTTTTATGATGGAGACAGTCTCTTCTCTCCTCCTCAGATAAATAAAGAATCATTTAAACCTTACTCGCCTCCACAGTTTACAAGGTACCATTTTTATATAACTATACATAAATATTATAATTTTATTAGTTTTTAATATACTTATGACACGAAAGTTTCATTTGATTAAAATGTATAGTAATTATGATATAATAGTCTGTTCATCTTATTTTTATAAAAACTCGGTACACTAAAAAAGTGTTATTTTGTTAAGAACAGTAATTTATATATTTGATAGTAATTTTAAGGAAGACTGAGAAAAGTAATACTAAATAGAACTTCAAAATATATGTGAAACAAAGAAAATCTGTTTGCTACATGAGTATCGATAAATATAGTGCTTTATATTACATATAGATAAAAAACATAATCATTTGATAAATTAAATTTTACTTTTAGAATTATTATTCTAAACTTAAATTATTACGACATTATAACGTATAACTTTTCTCTTTCAGTTTCGAAAAAGATTTCTATAAACTTAATTACAAACCTCCTCTTGACTCGTACCAAAGACCAGTAGACAATCCATACCCATTTGAGGACGTGGTGCCAAGAACTGAACATATAAAGTTTGACACTGGCCTAGAGGTCAGACCGACCGTACAAGCGCCCGTGAATATTCCCGCGGGAGGGTTGTACAAACTCCCGGAGACTTTTCAAGGGAAACCTAACTCTGATAGCGGCAGACAAGACTACGGCCTGCAGTTTAAAGAACAGAAAGAAACCTCTGTTAAGAATCGGTAAAGTAGCTACATATTTATAGTAATAATTTACTGTTTTGGATAACAAGCCTGACATGACGTACCAATGAATGCATCTAATTGCAGTTAAATACGTATGCTAAAACAGCTATATTTCTTTTCATTTACAGAACAGAATTAAACATAGGTAGATTTTGAAAATGAAACTACAGCTTAAACATTTTCATGTTCTAACATAATTGTCTTTTTATTTCTTTTTTTACATTTACTATCTCTAAAATTCTTATGTAAATCTTTCTTTTCTTCTAAGAAGATATTTTAAAAGCAGTCTTTATTTTTCTATATATATTATTGTACAATCATTTATCGTTATATCTGAAGTAGTGAGGAACATTCATCATGTTAGCATTAATACAACCGATGTAATTGTCACAATGAACATTGTTAAATGTCATGACACATGATCGATCACACACTGATTGACCTCGGAGTAGGTACTCGCCCCTGCTACTGTCCAACATTATAATAATATTATATTTGAATTCATTACGATACTATCAATGTTAGCTTTCATCTTATCAAGATTGCGATGTCTGGAAACCATTTGTCTTGTTTTGTATATATTAAAAGCTGTTTATACACAGTTTTGGTATACCTCTGTAATGGATTGTATGATTTTGAATTAAACAAAGTGATTAACATCTTAATGAGCTCTAAGATTTTCGTGAGTATTTAAATGAAAGTAATATTTTTCGTATTATACTGCACGTACTTTATTATTGTAAAAAACTATGTACATCCTCCCGAGGTTTCAGTTATTTTTCAGCAACCGTGATGTGATGAGAATGTGATTTCTTTCTCACGACTTTGCCGAATAAATTTGCTCTTAGTAAATAAATATAATACTTCTTCCAGTGCAAATCCCTGGAAAGGTTTGCTACACTTGGTGACGTCTCTTCTGCCAGTTGGTCTCATAGTATCAGCCCTCACGCCACAAGTCATCACGCTGGAGAGCACGGCCAGCGGTCCGCGGTGAGAGAAACACAAGAATTATGACGATTTTAATAAAATTAATGTAGCCATGACAAACTCTCGAGAAACTCGATAGTACATATATTGTAAACAAATTGAAATCCAGGAGTGAGTGTTTCGCCTAAGAAAATAATTAAGCATTCACGACTCTCTTGAATTAACCATCTTGTCACTGGAAGGAAAATCTGCATGGAGAAATAAAGTGATATGACAAAAATATTAATGATTGAAACAGTGAAACATAAATCCGCTAGCAATTAAGTGAGAGTTATGTTTTAATAAAAAGATCGATCCACGAGTCGAGCGCGCGGTCGTTATGTAACGTCATTATTAAATAACCAAAAATATTTTCCCTCTTCAGTTTCTGTCCATTCATTGTAATCTTATTCTGCAACACGCAACCGAATTAATTTAATTAAATCGTCATCTCAAATTCTAATACTCAGAAATCAAAATCATCCAACAGATAGAAACTTTCTACTCAATATATTACTGCAAAATTTAATTATTTTTTTGATGTTTTTTGCAATATATTTTATTTGGTTGTTTGTTTAAAATCTCCTTCATCCGTGCAAAGAAGTGCACAGTATATTCTACCAGTGTCGTGTACAAATTTCTTAAACATGGCGTTTCTATATCAAACTGTCTCCCTGATGTGACTTCCAAACTCATGATCCAACATCTCCGTCAGATGTGTAACACACAGACAGACAGACAGATCACTAATATAATATTAGTCCGTAGTCCGCGACCGCTAATTAATTATAAGCGATCACTTTCGACGAGTTACATAACGCGCATACATCCGCCGCTTGTACATAATATATTTTGTATCGAAACAAGTTGAACACGTGTGCGGAATTAAGGAACTAGTAGGTGATCGATATACAGAAATAAACGTATTTATTATATTTTATATATAGTAAAATATGAAAAAATTTTATGTCTGTAACTAGCAGTATTGTATATATATATTTAAAAAAAATATTAATTTTCAGTGGACCTACAACTATATACTTCTATAGATTTTATTTTTTGTACTTTTTTTTGGGCACATTAAATACCTTGTAAGAAGAGGACAATTATAATATAATGTGTATTTATCTTTTATTAAAATTAAATTCAATTTTATGTTAAGCCTATTGATTAAAAGTAAATCACACATACATTGACCATTCGATGTTTCTATAGTTAGTGTTATAGGCATTTCAAATATGCTTCTCATGAGTGTGCTAGCACAATAAATATTTGATTCAGTCAACAGTGGAGCAGGTCGGTAAACGGGCAATGAAGAGTGAAAACATAACAAATCGAGTTATAACGTAAGAACAATTTAAAAGTTGGTACATTACGAGTAATATAAACCTACTTACGGTTACGTAGATACGCGGCGGAAGGACAGACATCCGTGTGTTATACAACCGAGAAAGCAACGGCTTGTGAAGAACACAGCAAGTAAAAAGTTTACCTTGTACACGGTTTTAGGTCACGGAACAATTAATTCATATAATATATTGATATTTTTATATTGTTCATGAATCATAAGTACGATTGATATAAATTACTTATTACTAAAAAGCAGTAAGGGCTCATTTTAAGTACTCAAAACAAAATGTGTATGTTAGGCAAGTGACAAAATATACGTTAGTTAGTAGTAGGTATAAAAATTTCACATTTTTTTGTCGACATAGAAAAGTTTTGTAATTCCTTTTGAACCCATGCCTATTTACAATTTCTCTAACTTTTATAAAAGCATGAAGTAATTTCAAATTTGTAGTGGTACTCAGAAGACCCATACGTAACTACTTGGTCTTAATTAAAATAATTAGACAGCGATGAAAATGTTCAAAAAAAGGGTAACGTTCCAATGAGAAATAGATTCTCAACTACAATATGGTTTAAAAAATCTTACAAAACAATTATATTATGTTTTGGCTCCATAATGTTTGAACTTTTTATATCTATTATAAGTATATATTTGATATCATTCCAGTTTCCGCGGGCGCGTGTCTCGTCGCACTGAGGACGTGTCATCTCTTCCCCACATCAGTGACGGCTGTAAGAGGAGGCTGCTGTGTGAAATACATTCGGAACAGGAGTACATGAGGTCGGGAAAAATAAATGAAATGCTGTACCTATATATTTATTTAATATAACTTTATGCTACTTACCATGGTATTTTTATCTCCTTAATATGACTTTTTTGTAGATTATAATCTTACTCTAAAGTTCTAACAAGCTTTTCTTTAAATATAAATGATTATAATAAGGACATTAATTAGGCAATATTATATTAGAATAAAACGACTAATGAGCTTTTGGAATATCTTTTTGATGTATTCATAAAGAAAGGAATTCATAGTACGTAGTTTACAATATAATGTTGCCAATCTTAAAAGTAAAGATCTTAAGAATGCCACTTAATCCACAATATCCCTTATCTTTCAAACATCTATGTATAACTATTTAAATATACCCTGTAGATGGAGTATTTTATTTTCCCTAAAACCTATTCTTTTCCTTTCTATCGGTGACAATATAATATTTAAATCAAAGAATACTTTCATCCTAGCTATGAACGCCGTCCATGCTATAAGATCCGCTGTGAGGATCCTCGCTCCATGAGCCGTTTGCTGAACTGGTTGCTGGACCACCACAGACCTGGCTACCAGCCTGGCGACCACGACCGACGGGGTTATATTATAACATGAAGATAACACTACCAATCAATATATTATTTTAACAAACCTCTGCCTGTATATCTATATTGTATGATATACCTCTTCTTTAATCTTTCTCTTAGCAAACTCTTTCTTTCTCCTGATATCTTACGCATACTCTCAATCAGTGATTTTGAATTTAATTTTAAATTTAAAGTTTCCTTAAATAAACATGATATCCCATTAACAAAAATATTGTGGTAAGATATAAGATACTTGTAATAAATAAGCTTCTGTAGTTAAATTGAGAAAAATCACAGAAATAAGGTTGTAACATGAGTGAATATTTTTATAACTTTAATTTTTAATACATTTGTATTGTTTAAATGTTTAACCTGCTTATTAAACACTAGCTTTCCGCCAGGACTTTCCCCGGGTGAAGTTCAGTTATATCGCGTTTCCAAGAGAACCTTTCAAAAGTCTGAAATAAAAACTATCCTATGTCCTTTCTCAAGCTCAACTTTATCTCTGTACCAAATTTCATTAAAATCAGTTCGGTGGTTTAGGCGTGATAGCGTAACAGACAGACAGACAGAGTTACTTTCGCATTTATAATATTAGTAAAGATTTATTAGAAGTAAGACTTGTTGTGAAATGTTTTCATTTCAGTTTATTTAAATTATTCTTTCTATAGTCAAAAATATTATTTAAGCCTCAATATGAAATTACAATTGCGACGGAAACTTTCCCTCAATAACCTTGCTATTCTTTCTACTACATGAATAGTTTATAAAAAAAAATACTGCTTAACTACTATATTTTTTGATAGGGATTATCAAAAGATTATTTCCTACCTCTTCCAGTTTTCTCAAGTACTTCAGCATAATACATGACCTACTTCTATTTCTAGTTACAATCATTATATTTATACATAAATATATATAAGACATAAGATACTAGCTACCTGAGAGTTTAAGCTACCTATAAAAAGAATATGGAGTATACTCGTATATACAGTACGTCTTACAGTACAGTATTCGTTCCAATAAATTCTCTTTAACTTGCTGCTATTAAACTGTGTTCATATTCCAATTATAGTCAATAACAACATACAAATAAAAAGAAAAAAACACCTGAATAAAAATTCAAATAAAACCCTTATTATTAAATTAAATACAGCTGTTGTTCAGACGGAACGCATGATTTTCCCTTCTAAACATAGTAGACTGTTATTAAAGCCATTCGTATCATCATTACGTTCCCGTCTCACATTAAGAGACATTCGACAACTTGACATCTTCGTAATAATAGTTATGTGAGAGAAAGTCTAAGTAATAATTGCGGAAGAATTTGATTTAACTACCGATCTACTTTCAATGTACCGACGATTGTCTGCTCTCATTGATAACACAGACTCCGGACCATGATCTGTTGGTTTTAAATGAGATACTAGATCAGATGACAAACAACTGTACTATTAAGAAATTGAAAGTAATATTAACGAAGAATGAATTTGTGTAGTTATAATCACAGTTGTTTGTGGTAGAGGCTTGCTGTGGTCAAATTAACCACTCGAACATGGGCTGGCTCGACCGGAGAAATACCACCCTCTTACAGAAGTTGGCGTGAAGAAGCCTTTAATTTCTAAGTTTCGTCCGATGAGTGAGAGAACCGATTGCCCAATCCTTTTTCCCATCCTTTCCTACCCCTTCTGTTTTCCCTCCCTTTCACACTTTTTCCTCCCCCTCTTTTCTAAACAAGGGTGGTGACACATCAGCAGCATAAATGATGTTGCGAATGTCAATGGGCGACGGTACTATTAGGTAGACTGTCTGCTCGGTTGCCCCCTTTAGCGTAAAAAAAACCATGAATTTCTTATCAAATATGTCTTTGTGCCTCAGTTTTTTTCCTTTAAACCTACTTACTTACATATCATCTTGATTGATATGATACATTTTATAAAACCCTTCTTTTTTCATCCGCATACTGTAGTAACGAGAACTGGATTCGCTCCAAATAAGTACAAACTATTTGAGAACAGTCTATAATCAATTAATATTTTCTGTGACATTTATTTCTATAACATTATAAATAATTCATTTTGTTTGAAATTCCGATAGTAATTGAGATTCCTTACGTTTTTTCTTCGGTATTTATATAAATAATGAGTTTAATTAATGATCAAAGTGCTAACAGTTTATAACAGTCTTAAATTTTCCTTCAATTTCGATGACTTCAGAGACGTTACAGTTTTTTATGAACTTTTATACAAAACATAAAGTACATTGAAGTCTAAATACAAGAGGAATACCGCGTCAAACTTTCATTTCCATATATATTATAAAGAATTTAAATAGAAATATGTAATGTATATGTCGGTAAATATCACAATAATTAAACTTAATTAATGAGCTTTCAATAAATCAGTCATTGGAGGCACAGACGGACGTAGAAAACGTCGTGTCCGGTCATTATTATATATTAATAATGACTCCATCCTGTCAGCTGATGATGAAGGTGATGCCCGCTGTCATCATCGCTCCAGAGCTACCTTCTTACATAAATAACATACATTGAATGATGAGCTCCAAATAAGGAGTATTTGTAGAAAAAGTTAGGAGAAAATTGACGAGACTAATGCAATCTATGTATATTATGAATCATATTGTAAAGTTTGTTTAAGAACTACAATCAATAAATTTATTTTTGACAATAACTATATTTGATCGGCACATTTATAACATGATATTTGTAAATAATTACCACACCAACCGATACTTACTAGATATTTTCCTGATCGTTTGATTGAGTAATGAATTTCATTGTTGTTTAAATTGTGGGAAAAACAATTAAGCTTTAATTTTTCAGTCATCTCGTACGCATGAGGTAACTGAGAGAAGTCTCCCAACATGTTTTATTAAAAATAACATTTGATAGTTGATGTTGCATTAAATACACCAGTATAATATGCTTTTATGATTGTCATTAAATATAACAAACAAAAGAAAGTTGATGTCTGAAAATTAAACAAAAAATAATAAGCTGTGTGAAGCTGACCTCTCTGATGGAACATCAAGTGTCATGATGTAACGAGAGTTATATGTGACCGGAGTTGAATAATATCCGATAATAAAACAGAAAAACAATACGCGAAATGACTTAGAAGATAATACACAACACTGAATTAAAAAGACGATGTGGTATGTAAATAAAAAAGAAATTTTGGTTAAGAATTCGTCTAAATTATTACAAAGGTGGAAAACTATGATCTATAAAATTATATAAAAGATCTTTGAATACTATTTTCTCTCCGTAAAGTCGTAAAAACATTGAAATACTTATTAACCATCTCATGTTGAAGAGAGTAAGAACATACAATCAGTAAGTGTCGTTGTCTGAGCTCTAAGTTTCCCCGGTACTACTATCATGTAACTTTCCTGCAGCAGACTGGCTTGACTATGTATGAAGAGTCAATCGAGGTTAGAGAAGCTTTCTTATTTCGCAACATTATTCAATGATACGTTGACTCGAGGACAGCTTGTGTATACATGAGGCGGTGTCCTTTGGGTAGATTCATAGGGGAAAAAAATGATCATTTATTGACCAGGAATGTGTCCCGAAGGTGAAAATATTGTTATCATGACTGACAAAACGAGAAGGATTTAAATTGTTAATGGTTTTGTATTTGCCAAAAACCACAGGTTTTTGGCAAATACAAAACCATTAACAATATACATAAATAATATTAATAGATTTTCCTGGAAAAATAATATTAATTCTCTTAAAGTTCAATTATGATAAAACTTTTTTCATACTTCTATTCATCTCCGGGCCATAAGCTATCTTAATTCTTATCTTCACAAATCAACAGGTGAAAGGCTTCATAAGAGTCACATCTTCATATTCTCAACTTTTTAAAATAATTTTAATTGCAATTTCTAGATTTTCTAGACTGTTATTTTATATCGGGAATCTCTGTGACTAAATTATAGCTCGGATTCTGAATATGGACTGGTAAATAAAAATTGTTTACAAGTCATACGGAAGTAAATAAAATAATTTCATCTTTATTATTTTTAATTCAAGAGATGTTAAATTATATACTATATAAATAAGTCTCGAGATAATTCATAAACTCTAAAATTCTCTTCAAACACACTACACGGTCATATAATATAGAAATTATTCAGCCATCGAATGTAAATAAAAAATATAGTAGATGGTATAGCCCCACACGTGAAGCCACCACCATTTCTGCCACCACCAGAAATCACCGGCACCACTCTCACCACGAACAGAGTCAGTTGCACCTGACACGCCGACACCACCACGCGACCAGTAATTGTGAATTATTGTGAATAAAGTATTCTTTATTATTGTTATTCTGTGTGAGTGACGGAGCATGAGATCAGCTTGATTCTGAATTACGACCACGGATAGTTAAGATGGTGAGTGGAACAGTGCAGATCTCAATACAAACATTACCTAGCAATTACCACCTAACAGTTTTATATGAGGAAAAGTGACAAAAAATATCATCTTTAATAATAAAGAAATGAGCACTTGAACATCGTGTGTATAGCTGGAACAATACTCACATTACAATCAACTATCAAGGAAATAATTAATTATATATTATTGTATGAATGGAACGATTTTACCGGGTTCATGATTTATATTTAATATGACTATAGAATACATTTTTTTATTCTTTTTAAAAGGTTTATATATTAATTAAATTATTTATAAATTGGTATTAAAATATTTACCAACATTTTAATAGTATAATTTCTAGATATATATAATCAGATTTTAGACTTTTGCGAAAGTTTTTATTTAAATAAAATGATTACTTTTGGATTATTATGTGATTTTTTTATTATTTTCAACTACATACTCCTCATATCTCATCTCGTGTGCTCGTTATCACAGTTGCAGCATACATAGCAACTGAAACGTCGGGATTATCTAGTTCAAAATAATAAAAAAAAACGCGCAGTAACCCGAAAATATTAGTTTTATTCAAGAAAATATTTTATCAAATCCTCTCG